CCCCCCCCCCCCCCCCCCCCGCCCGGGTGGCTTACTGATCATATATCCGCCGTATGAGGCGCCTAGGGCCACGGCGTTGTTCGTGTCGATGTATGGGATGTTGTCGGAGATGTGCTCGAAGCAGTTCACCACTATAAGCGTCCTCAGTCAGCTGCATGTTTCCAAGGAAGACGTGTCTAAGATGACTTCTACATTAGGTAGTCCAGGAATAAAGTTAGAATCTTGTACTCACAATCATTATACGGCCGTCCACCCCAATCCTGCGCAATCCCATCGGTGAACTTCTGTCCGTACCCAGTACTGCCCGTCGGATTCGGCATAACCGCAACGTAACCCTGCTCCGCGAACACGGCGGGATTCCACCTCGTGCTCCAGCTCTGTCCCCAAGCGCCCTGCGGTCCTCCGTGGATAAGAAACGCCAACGGGTACTTCTTGCTAGGGTCGAAGTTGGACGGCCTCACGACCAAGGCGTGGACTTGGTAATCGCCCGCGCCCTTGAACCAGAACTCGTCGACTTGGCTCTTCGTCAGGCCGAACGATTTCCCTTCCTTGGAGCTTGACGAGATGAGGCTTAGTTCTTTGGACGAGGGGTCGATGATGGAGTAGGAGGAATTGTCGATGAGCGAGTTGGATGTGAGGAAGAGACTTCCGTCGCTCTGGGATAGGTTGCGGAAGTCGGTTACCGCCCCGTCCTCGGTCAAGGGTTGCGGTAGCTCCTTGGCCTCTAAGGGGCTCGAAGGGAGTTTGAATAGGGTCTGTCGGCCCTCCTTTTCGGCTGTCACGTATAGCTCCTTGTCGTCGTTGCTCCACACAATGCCTTCCGGCCGTAGGTCCCAGCCACCCTCGCCGTCCTCTGTCTTATAAAACTCCTGCACGTTGCTTAGGTCTTTGATGTCGGGGAGCAGTAATAGACGCCACTTGTCAGACTCGTACTGCCGGTTCCTCATGCGCTTAAACGCAACTTTGGTACCATCGTGCGAGAACACCGGAACACCTGTGTAGCCTTGTAGCTCTCCCGTCTTAACGACCTGGGGCCGAGGGGGTTTTGCTTCGGTGAAAGTCTTGAGCGGCACATAGTAGAGGTCGGTCTTAGTCCACAACGCAGGGTTTAGTTCTGGGTCCTTGGATACGAAAACTATTCCCTCTTTGCCAATATCGTAATCACTAGAATCTCCGAAGGGCGGCACCGGACACTCAAGCTTTGTGCCTGCTAGAGCATTTATCAGGTTTCGATCCTGCAACCTCCAGTATTTCCCCTCTTTCTTCAGCGCTCCATAGAAGAGACCCTGTCTGTGTTTGGAGACGTACGAGTCCCAGTGTCGTACAAATAGACTGGTATAGACTTTGCCGGATGATAAAGGCTTCTTCTCCTCTTCCGAGTTCAATAGCTCCCCGGACGACGTGGTGGGAGCCGTGGCAGCGAATGCTACGGTACCATTGCCAATATCTTTTGCCTTGATATTAGATATCGAGGTGTTGAAGATGGCAACCTCATATGGCCTAAGTGCACTTGTGAGTATAGTATTGCTAGTATTGCTAATAGTTATAGAGGTTTATATAAGAATGAATATTTACTCTGAACCCGGGTGAGTTGCATCTGCTACGAGAAGAGACGTCTTGTTGTCATCATTCTTTACGAAAATGAATTCGGTCTCGGAGATCCATGTTGGCTCGGTTAAAGTCGAGTTGTCAAATAACTGAGTCGACTGGCGAGATTTTATATCTAGGACCTTGATGGCATATTCCTTGGAGTGAGTTTCAAAAGAATATTGTGAGACTAAGAAAGTATTAGCTACCTAGTTATGTTCTATGGTTAGAATTTGTATAGTTGGAGATATACCAGCATATAGAGCGAGAGTCCCGGTGCTGTTAGGCACAGCGGAACTACGACGAGGGGCGGAAAGAAGCACCTCGGGGGTGAATTTGGTAGCCATAACCGTCATCTTGGATGAGAATCTCGGACGACAACTTAGAGCGGGGGTTATTTCAATATATAATAAGCCTACAAGCTGCAGGTTGAATAAATTTAAGTTACTTTCAAGCACAAGACAACTCTCTTTGACAAATCATCACAATGTGCAGTTAGGTATTAGGTATATGTATTTCGTACTTACATAGGCTCTGGTTCATCAAGGTGTTTGCTATGATTGGCAATTACAAGTGGGTAGGGCCTTAGCTATGGAGACTTAGCTATGGAGATACCTAAACTAGGTACCTACATACCTACCTCCTATGTTGGGTAATTGTTGGTTTGACCTTCCCCCGCACGTAGGAACGAGCACTCTTTAATTGCATAGTATTGCGTGATTCATAAATTGTCTTTGAGTCCCGTTATTTACGTCTATCCATGCATCTAGTGTAAGGCGTTAACAGCGAATTATACTCGGGTCCTCGTCACTACTATATATATGTCTTTCTCTCTTTGGGTTTAAACAAGTATATCTTTACAAGTGTATATCTTCGCAACTATACTCAGAGACGCTAATATCAATACCATGCTATTGCCTCGACGTAAATTCAACCTTGATCTACTATTCGTAAACCCAGATACTATCGGGTATCTCGACGGAAAAATATACAACGGCGCGAACCGTGAATCCCATCTCTTGAAAGAAAAAAAGCGCGTGAACATGCTTTTGCTACATTGCCAATAAACATCCTACCTATTAAACCAACGCCGTCAAACTAGCCTTATGCCCATCCCTCGTGAACGCCGAAAGTACACTAGATAATGTACAGCACTGAACGTATTAAACTTGCAACGGCCGAGGCGGTGGTCATTTTCGGGAGGCGCCAAAGTGTGTCCGAACTTTCTTAGCTTCGCGGGAGTCCGTCTCGCTGTCCTCTACATCCGCATCCTTATCCTTCTTCTGAGTTCTCTTCTTGCCAGTCTTACCAGCCTTTCCAGAGCCCTTCTCAGTCGCGGACGTAGGCGTCGGCTGGTTCGATCCACTGTCCTTTTCCCTATTTGCAAACGTCGTAGAGACGGGGGTAGGCGCTGCTGGTGTTGAAGTTGCGGACGGGGCTTCGGTATTATCGGGCTAGAAGGGAGGTAAGAGCGTTAGAACGAATTGTGTCATCGAAGCGTAGGTGGGAGGGAAGTAGGCGCGCGAGAGAGAGATCGCAAAGACATACGTGAAGGCTATTGTAGGATATCGAAGACCGCGACCAGATATAATCCTCGTCCTTCAACTCTCCTTGCTTGCGCTGTGCGGCAGAACTAGTTCCCTTGATGTAGTTATCGAAGCCCTTGACGATGTTGCCGAAGCGGGTGTTGCTTAGGTATTTAGCCTCGAGATCGACGATACTCTGCTCTAGTTGTGCCTGTCATACTAACTTTAGCTGCCGTCCCCCTCAAACAGTGCCGGTAAACCCAAAGCGACTCACTAGCTGGCGCTCTTGCTGTTTCCGCTTACCTAGAAGCTCCTTGAGATTCTGCCGCTGCTTATTGTACTCCGTGAGAGCGGCCTGCCGGTCGCCGTTGGCAGCTCCGCCGGTACCAGGTTGGACGTTTTCGGTCATTGCGATCTTAGGTTGGCGTCGCCGTTGAAATGGAGAGAGTTGGATTACGAATGGTTAAACTTTGGATCTAATGAGAACGCGTATTGGCCCGAGCGCTCTTCAGCCTTCCCACTTGGTTTTAGACTATTCCCATACGAGTTTAAGCCCTTTTTGTTTAGGCTAGCAACGGGTTAATGCGTCACTAGTAGCTCTACCATTTTTACTTAGTCAGGCTCGGGAATATGCGGGGCTGCATTGGCACATTTGTCTCCACTATTGGATTTATCGAGGTACTTAGCTCAAACATCATATGTATATACACAGCACTGACAAACTGAGGTAGTTATATAGGTATCAGAGAAGTTATCATCCTAGAATGATAATTAGAGATAGACTCCATTGAAACGTTGTTTTTTTCATAATGTAATAATACGGATACCTTGTGTATAGGTAAGTATTTATTCGTAACGTACGAAGTATTCAGTATTAAGTTCCTTGATGGTCCCGTCGGTATACGTACGAATTAAAGAAACGGTAATTGCTTTCGAGATTTCTGCTCTTAATATACTTCTCTTGGCTTGTAGACCTATATTTCCCCCTACGCTATCTCATACGACAGTAGAAATAACTTACCGAGTTTATATGGCAACTTATATGTTAACCTATGTTGGGTATTTATTGCATCCAACTTACCTAAGGGCCAGTATGATAACGTCTGCAACTATTACATTAGCAATGTTTAAATACACCACCGTCAAATCAACGAACCGGACTAGGATATAATGCTGCCCTCCTAATAGCGGAAACAATGGTATGCACGGAATCTAAATCGGGGTTTGGTAGCAAGTCTATTGTCTGATCATCTATCTGCTACGTGATAGCCGTACTTCATGAGCTCAAACGCAAAGCATTTTTGTGACTAACCTCGAAAGCCAATTACGAAAATAAAAAACACCTGAACCCAACATCCACGGGTTATCAAGTCTCTTAAGATGACCGAGTCTGCAAATCCTGCGAGTCTGAGAAGATTAGCCTGACCCTTTGACGTTGTCTCTACTTGAGGTGCCTCTCATCTTCTTTATGCGCTCCTTCAGAAGCTTTTCTCGTAGCTCATTGGCTTGCTGTACTGGGGACTTGGTCTGAAGAATACGAGAGTCAGTTCTCCGTCTAAATGTATAACGTGATACGAACTCCCTAAGAAGAAGGACGAACCTCATCGGCCGTCGAGGCCGCGCGGTGTCTAGGGGATCTGGATTTGTCTTCATCTTCCGAAACATCAGCTGATCTGTTACGGGTGCGGGGGGAATCGGCAGAGTCTCTCCGCCTTCTCGAAGGGATATCTCTAGCTTTGCTATCCTGTCCGTTCCTTTGCGGGCTTCTCCGCCGTGGTCGCCTAGTCTCCTCATCAGACTCTGATTTGCTTGGACTTCGCGTTAAAGTTCGTCTTAGCCTCCCACGGTGGCTAGGCGAGGGGCTACGACTGATAAGCTCCCGGACCGGTCTTCGTCTCGGGCTGCGACTGCGTGATCGCGAGTAGGAGGACGAGCGAGAACGACTCAGCCGCCGACTGTCACGGCGTGGGGGAGACCTCGAGCGACTAAGCGAGTCCGAGTATCTGCGCCTCTTAGGTGCTGGCGAACGAGATCGACTACTGCCAGATCTACTGGCGCTGACCGGCGAAGATGTGTTTCTTCTACGACCGTCTCTGCGGGGCCTATAACCTCTTGTTCGCCCTGTAGACCGATCTCGCTTCCCTGAAGCTCTATGGCGAGGTGGCGATCGACGCCCCCTAGAACGGCGACGAGATGGGGTAGGTGATCGGTGACTAACTCGCCGGCTACGTCCGCTAGTCGTGCTCGATGATCGGGAACGAGACACAGAGCCTCTGGACTCGGGACTCGCGGAGCGGGATATGGAGCGTCCACGTCGGGCCTCCTGCCTACTCCCACGACGGCTTGGGGGTACGTAACGATCTCGGTTGTTATGATATGAGTCCCGCTCTCGACGTGGTGGTGAGGGCGATCGGTCACCGCCTCGGCCAAAGCCTCTACCGCGACCACCGCCAAAGGCTCGATCGCCACCACCACGTCTCCCACCACGCCAATTATCGCCCCGCCCGCCACGAAAGCCACGGTCGCGCCGCTCTCGATCTCGTACGTCTGATAACTCACGGTCACGACGCTCCTGGGTCTCACGTCGGATTCGTGATTCTTCAGCAGCCTTGTCTGCATCGATCTAATGATAGTTAGTATATACATTAATTTACTGAGTAGGGGACAAAAATAGTACCTTCTCCTGAATGAGTTCTAGCTTCTTCGCTTCCAGAAGCTCCTTGGGGACACCCTGAGGGCTAGACTGGGCGCTCAAGCAGAGGTTCCAAAGATCTTTACAGAAGGGCGCGGTATCTTTATCGAGGAAGCCGGTAAGCTGGATTTGCATGGATTTTATATCGGGCTACGGTATCCAATGTCAGCAAGGTCAACGATGCTAGCCTTGCAGCATGAGTGAGTGCACTTACATATCGGGATCCTTCGATTAAGTTAAAGCATAGCTCAGTGACGACGTCATCTTCGGATCCTAATATCTCGGATATCTTGCTGGCAATCCATCTGAGAAAATTACGGTTAGCTGTTGGGTTGCTCATAGTACGCGTGGATAGGGAGACGAACTTCTTCATGACCTGAAGATTGACCTTTTGCATGTCAACCTTCTGATTGAATTCGGGAGGGAACTTTGTCGCTCGTAAGAGCTTCGCGTCTACGCTGCTTGCCATGGTGCACTACGGGTGGCCGCAACTGCGAGACGTCTATTTGCGAAGCGTCTTCTGTTCAGGCGTTAGTACGGGAAATAAAGATGGAAGAATTGACTGCAGGACTAAAAAATGACGTCTGGGGAAAACGCCGTATGGCTGGTCTAGGCTCTAGCGTTTCACTGATCGGGTTAAGGGATTCGAAGGCCTGGGCGGCAGTGCAGTGCAGTGCTAACTAACAATTTCCGCGCTAACAGTTTTCTCGGCTGTGAACAGCTGCCAGCAACAACTCGAAACATCGTGAGACCTGCAGGTGCTCGCCTAAAAATACTACTATCATTCCGCTTTCCAGTAGCTAAATTCCCAGCAATATCAATAAGTGCCTAAATGTTATACTGATTTGTATTCAAAATACTTAACTATACTTATCTTAGAATTATATGTAGATTGCATAGAATGTAATAAAAACCGGTGTTGCTTCTTAGCTTCTCTACCTATGTATAGCCTTAATATCCTCTATTATACCTCTATGTTGTATTGTACGTAACTTGCTCAAACCTGTATTCTTCGAACGTTCGTCATGGGAGGTACCTACCTAGGTATCTTAACACCCGTTATACCTACCTAGCTACTATAGCCTTAGTGCATATAGGCCATTAAGCAACCTTAACCCAACACCCACCCACCTGCCTCAACGGTCCTTTCCCCAAAAGCTAATTGGCCAATTCAGCCTTCTTCTAAAAACGCAAATACATGTCGGTACTTGAGTTCTAATACAAAGACATTCATTGGCTCCTTCTATCTCGGAAGCGAGTTTCTTATCAACAACTAAAATAGCCAGGACCCGAGAAGCGAGAATCAAGATGGATATTAGTTGTTGTATTATACCTATAGTACCTATGTAATCTGGTAGTAGTGGTATATTAAAGCTGTAACCCACCAGCGCCAAAAATAGCCACGACTTCACTTCTATGACGCAGACGAGCAACTTGTCAAGATCAACCGCGATCATCCTAATACATCATCATTTCCAAAAGGACCGGCGTTGATTTTCATGATGTACGGTTAATCCTACTGACCGCTCGATAAGAAGGCTCACCTTATCGACTAAGGAAATAGGTATACTCTCTTAAGTCCGATGCCTTCAGGGTCATCGGCGATCACGTAGAAAACAAAGCAAGGTGGTATCGTGATAGATTTAGAGGAAAACGCTGTAGAGCGATAAATCATATATTCCGTGCCATTCTACCGTTATTAGCATTAAGCCCAATCAATCAAAATCCACCCATAACCGTAGTCATATTCCGAATCATAGTAGCCGGGCCAGTAGCAAATCGTTAATGCACACAACTCTGTAGTGTTTAGCCAGTTCATACGCCGTTTTATCCCAGGAGCATCCTTGCTCGTCTGTGTTTTGTTGTCCGCTTCCCATCCTCCGCTCGATCCTTTGTAACGCCAATGATTGATGATCGTAATGCAATTGGTCATTAGAAAATTTTGGGGGGTATTCAGTCGAGCTGTGCCATGTTCACTTTGGATAGCTTAGCCGGTTGATTTCCTTTCGCTCGTGCTTGTGTTCGACAGCCACCTGAGTATGATGTTTCACGGCGAGGGCGTTGATCTTCTCGCGCGCCTTGATTAAGCCGCTGTTATCTTGCTCCTTCAATTTGGCGCGGATTTCGTATAAGGAAAGCAGGGTAGAAGCTCTATCAATATCGGCATCCGGTCGCTATATAATTAATCAGTATTTGTGTTACCGCAACAAACAAAGGACGGCTTTATAAAAACGCACCTCTCCTCCAAGAGGACTGCCAGGTATAGATGGCGATGCCGAGTTTGTTCTCGTCAACGGTGGTGTGAGCATGCGACGGCCAAACTTGTCCGTCATGCGACTAGCTGGGGATGTCACCCTGCCTTCGGGGACGCTTCTTGGCTGTTGCTGTAGGTGTTCCTTACGGTCGAGCGTTCGGTTGACGCTCACCAAGTTTTTGGCGGCAGATTGATCTTGCTGTAGGACAGTTTGGGTCAGCGAAGGATATTCTTGTTAAATCGTAGTTGGGATAAATGCGATAAGAACAAACACATACAGCAGCTTGGAGATCATTGAGATCTGCTAGCATCTGTGCTAGCTGAAGGGCTTCCATACTGTCGCATACAATAAAGACTCTTTCAAAATTGATAATTATTCGATTTTGCTAGGTGACATCTAAATTGTGATTCGAATCCGGGGAAAGGTGGACTTGCGACTTCGTGGAACTTGGATTACGCGGACAAAGATATAAATGGCAGGCATGAAAAGGAGATTGGTCTTGTGATGATATCAATAATCAAGGTGGGCTAAGGGACTTTTTGCAGGGGACATGGGGAAGGTGAGAGAATAAATTATTTACGCAGTATAGTTATTGTGGAGTACGCTTTCCCCAGGTCTGGGCCCGGCCAGTCCGATGTCCAGACGGTCCTACAGTGACTCCCCCCCACGCTATAAAAGTCCACCCTAGTGATATCGTAAAGTAATTAGTAAGATGTGCAAAGTACGAGGTACGTGCATTCCCTGCCGCCAAGATATCCGTACCGAGAGAAAGGTACCTAGCCTTTTTTTGGCTAGTGGAGCCCTGTACCTAATTGTACTAAGGGTATGGTACCTACAATGTACTCGCAAGTTCCATGCAGCAAGTCTAAAACCGGAGGTACAGACGAGTGCCAGGGCTTTAATTAATCCCGCTAACAGCGACACGAAGCTCGTCAGAGCCGAAGATCGGTAGCGTTTGGAGGAGTTTGGAGGAGTTTGGACCGGAAAGATCAACGCCATCAACGCCATCAACGACTCCGCATACGGTTGCCGAACCAGCTTGACGTGGTATAAGGCTCACACCTTCGGATCACTTGTATCTAGTACAGCCGGAACGTTTCCCCGTAAGTCACAGTCACGTTCTTTTTTATATATGTAAGTCAAGCCCGCAGGCAGGCAGGGTCTTAAATCGCAAACGTGCATTGCTGATTAAATACCTATCCTATCAGAGACACAATGAATGTTTTCCGTCGCGGCATGGCGTCGGTGGCTTCTTTAAAACAGGCCGGCAAAGTCGTTTGCATCGGACGAAATTATGCGTGAGTGCGCCCACTATGTAATCATCCCGCGGTACGGGAGTGAGGCGTCGTGTTAACCTGTTAACATTCTTACATGCGCGCAGCGATCACATCGCCGAGTTGAATTCCGCCAGGCCGAAGCAGCCTTTCTTCTTTCTGAAGCCTACGTCCTCGGTTCTGTTACCCGGAGCCGGTCCCGTCATCCGCCCCAAGGGTGTCGACCTTCACTATGAGGTCGAATTGGCCTTGGTTCTAGGCAAGCAAGTGAAAGATCTTGCAGCAGATGATGAGAAGGGCGCTTTTGACGCTATTGAGCGTAAGATGTTAATTCATACTTCATTTCAATGAAACTAACCAACTATCGAAGACTATGCTCTAAGTATCGACATGACGGCAAGAAACATTCAAAATGAGGCCAAGAAAAAGGGCTTGCCTTGGTCGATCGCCAAGGGTTTTGACACCTTTTTACCGATCAGCAATCTCATTGCCAAATCCGCAATCCCTAACCCTCACTCCATAGATATCTACCTTACTGTCAACGACAATGTCCGACAATCGGACAACACCGAGCTCATGCTTTTCCAGATCCCAAGGCTATTGAGTGACATCTCCAAGGTTATGACTCTTGAGAAGGGCGATATCATCCTCACCGGCACGCCGAAAGGTGTTGGACCAGTCGTACCCGGCGATGTTATGCGGGCCGGTATTAAAGTCGACGGCAAGGAGCTCGAGGAGAGCAAGATTGAGGTCAAGGTTGAGGAATCGACTGGCGCATATGAATTTGCTGAGACATGACGCGTCCACCAGCATAGACTATTGGAATCTAGCGAGGTGATCTTCAACAATATTTCACAGATCGCTGCAATCTGTATATATTGAGTTTAGTTGTTTTGCAATAAGCAACTTAGATTTATAGACCGAGAGCCGCCAACATCACGATACCAAAGATGCACCAATCCAATTTTTGCTTATTCCAAGTCCCTGGACAAAAAAGAAGACGAATTAAATCAAATGCAAATTACGAGACATAGCCAATCCACTCTACTCCCCAGGCATACCCCACCGTATATTCCGATACTGACTCGTCGGGTAGTAGAGATTATTCGGCGTCTCATCAAGCCAATCCAAATGCTTCGACATGGTATTAACCAGTCCCCGCCCACCTCCCTTATCGCCACTAGCCTCCCAGAAGAACGCCCCTCCGAGGCGGCGCCACTTCAGGTACTGCGCCTTGTACGTCGTGCTCCGGACGTCGTCGTACGAAACCAGTTCCTTGGCCGCGGCGTCGTAGCTGTACGTCGCCTTCGCCACGTCGTCATATACCACCTTGGCCCCGGGCTTCGGCAGGTCTTTGAAGTAGTACACCCCCGGCTGCGGGCCGCCCTGGCCCACGCTCGTGTAGTTCTGCCCGAGCCCCGAGGTCCCCTCGAAGGCGCGCCCGTAGAGGGGCAGCCCGAGAAGCATCTTCTGCGGGTGGATGCCGCGGCTTTCGTAGTGCTGCACGGCGGCGTCGGTGCTGAGGCGCTTTGACGACGAGGCGCCGCTTTCGTACGAGAATACGTTCGCTTGGTGCCCGCTGACGGTGTCCCAGCTTCCCGAGTAGTCGTAAGCCATCAGATGCCTGTTGTTGTTGTTGTTCCTATCGTTAGCATTATAACATTATATATAATAGGGTTGAGAATTATGTCAAAGGGGGGGCAGTATAGGACTGACCAGGAATCTACGTATCTGTTCATCGCGAACAAGTCTAGTTTTTCGTAGTTTTGCGGGCTGGCGGGACTTGCCACGCTGATGGTGAACCGATACCGTATGCCGTGGAGGAGTGCGTGTCTATCGAATGCCTGTCTACAAGCCTGAAGCAGCTTGACTAAATTCTCCTTTTCGACGTCGTTGACTGGGTACTCCCAGTCAATGTCGATACCATCGAAACCCCAGTCCGTAACGAGCTTCATGGCAGAAGTCGCGAACTTGTACCTCGCAGCGTCGGTAGCAGCCGCCGTTACGAACTTCGGTGAGTAGTTCCATCCGCCTATCGAAAGGAGCACCTTAAGGTTCCGGTTCCGCTTCTTGTGGATGTATAGCTGCTTAACGGCGCCGTAAGCGTTCGCAGTACGATTCGAGAGCGAGTCGTCTGGGTAACGCTTCTGGAGATCTACGACGGGGTCTGAAGACTTCACTGTTCCGTCTACGTCTATGTCGGCGAACGCGTAGTAGATATGCGTAAGCTCAGAGACTGGTAACTCCTGGGGATGAAAGCCCGAGTTGACGCCCCTGATAATGAGTGTTAGTTATAACTTTGTTTCAGTAGAGGGGTATGCTTCCTGACCAATTCGTGAAGTAGGCTCCATTCTTGAATCCTCTAAAGGGACCAGGCGGTAGCGGCGGAAACCCGCCGAAAGGAGGAGTGGGTTTTGCTGTCGGTGATGTAGCTGCCGAAGTTGTGCTTGGTGGATCTACAGTAGTTGGAACAGAGGTCGATGATATTGTAGTAGTATTTCCAAATGGAGGTGTAGTAGTGTTTCCAAACGGAACCGAGGTCGATGATATTGTGGTTGAGGGGACAGTGGCACTCGAGGTACTATTTCCAAATGGAGGAGCTGTAGTTGTTGTAGTTGGGGTAATAATTACACCGGTAGTGGTATTCCCAGGTGGAAGTACAGTTGATGAGGTCGAAGGGATAATAACACTTGTAGTGGTATTCCCGAACGGGACTGAAGTTGATGATATAGTAGTTGAAGGAACAGTGATACTAGTAGTAGAATTTCCGATTGGAACATCCCAGCTACTTGTGATTCTTGAGCTTGAACTCGCCGTCGTAGTTGAATTAGTCCATGGCACCTTTGTACTGCTAGTCACATTCGACGGAGCAGACGTATAGATGGTCTTGGTAGCGAAAACCGTCGTCGTTAAGAAAACGGGATCGCAATCAGTCCGTTCTCCTATACCAGATACGCAAGCCCAGAAGAGGCACTGGGCAAGCCCCCACGAAGAGATCTTCCGCATATCGACTAAGAGAGCTAACGAGAACGAGCGAACAGTCCCTCGACAGCGTTGTAACTAGGCTAACTATGGGAACCAAGACTCCAGCTCTTATATAAGAAGCTCGGGAAGTAACGCAAGCTTGCCACTCTTCACCATCTTGGGTGCTCATCGAGCCTAGACCCGACGTGAGCCCTTCCACTGAGTTATATGGAGGCAAGCTGGTGCCATCTCAACTCGTCGAACGCGTCACTCCTAATAAAAGTTTTCCTCGTCCAATAGGACATCTTGGAGCCCAAGTTTCATGAGCAGGAATGCAAGTCATTCTGCGGGATATCGATATGACCCAGGTCTTTAGCCTGAGTGCCTAAGTAATCGTTTTCGGTCCGCGAGAAGGGAAAATTCAGAATAAAATCACCTAAGCTATGGGACGTATAGTCCGTCTGGAGAGGCCACGCAATTCTACTAAAAGGTTATTGGATATCTCCTTGGAAAAGCACGCTTGACAAGACGGGGCCTGCACTGGGATGATCCGGGAAAAGAGACGGGCAGGGGTTATTGATGTCGGTAAAAGATGGGTTAATATCGAGCGATGATACTGTTGGTTCCCGTTGGATTGCAACACTCGATCTGATGCAGGCACATGCCTTACCTGCGTAGACCACGTCCATGGTGTGCCGTTATTTTGCGAGCATGTGGTAGAAATAAGAGCTTCTTAAGAGATTTCAGCTTAGATTCTAGATCGATGTTCCTTTTCCTTTCTCGATGCTACCGTAGCAAGATTGATCCCATACCAAGGACGGACCGATAGCTTAATAATAGAAAAACATAGGGTCAACGGTAAGTAATGAGAATAGGTGCCAAGTCTATAAACGCCATTCAGGAAACGTTGCGTGAATGCAGCGAGGTTGCAGGGTGGTAACCAGGTACGCACGCAATCGCGGGGACAGGCATCTTATGATGGGATATGTAAAGGGAGGAAAATATAATGAGCTGCTCATATTACGAAGCATGAAATAAATTGGATTTGATGCTGAAGGTGCGTAGATCTAATATATCGCACATAACTCTGATAACTCTCATAACTACCGCAGGTATGGATAGGACAGCATCGGGACTTGATTATCATAACACCATCACGATATATTCTGGTAAATACATATATAATGTGATATTAGTGTTAACCTAAGCTCCAATTATAAAATGTATGATTAATCCCTCGTGGATGAGGCTCTTAACTAATATTCGATGCAGTCTATACATGCATTTGCTATGTTCATAAACTCTCCCTTTTATTTGTCTAAGACGGAGGAGACAAACAGCCAAATCTTGCACTACCAAACGGCTGTATTGGACGAGATTTTAGTGGCGGGTAGATAAGATAAGTTGCCGCAAGTCTCCAGCAAGCGGCTGACCAAAGTACCTGGTATAACTCGCCAAGTACCTAAGAGGTATCATATCACTTAACTATTGAGAAAGAACATTAGTAACTACCTCCTATTAGGAAAAAACTTAAAGTCGAGAAATCGGAAGATTTATTAATGTCGTTAAAACAATGGAGCACCATGAACGATTGTTTTCAGAAAGGTACATACCTACATATTAACTTAGGTCTAGTTATGTATATTCGTACCTCTTCATGCTTCTTTCCTTTCAATATTCCTATTAAGGTATTTAACGGTTAAGGTTGTGTTGTGCAACAAACACTTAAACCAATAAAAGGGAGCTTTCTATCATATCATATCTCACCTTCTCAATACCTACCTACCTCATAGCTCACTCGACCTGCTGTTAGTTTACAAGAGTGGGGAAGCTGCGCCTCGTCCCGGCCTTGAGCAAGCTGGTAAGGCTCTAGGCTCCCTCACCTCACCTCACAACAACCTACGTAGTATAGGTATTCAGTAATTCTCTTATGTTGCAACCGAGCGAGCTGCTCAACTACTCCTCAATACACATCGTAATTGTAGCAGCTCTGCAATAATGGCGAAATATAGTTATACCCGGCGAGGCTCCATCCTCACCCCGAGCGACCGGAGCGAATCCCCGCCGCCGCCTTACTCGTCTCTTCCAGCAGGATCCAGCTCCTCGAGCCCTCGTGGGCCCTCAGAACAGACCCCGTTAATTCGGACTAAGATTCAACAAAGACAAGTCCACATCAACATCCAAAGACCGCCCTACACAACACCGTCTTACGCGCCTATCGGAGAATGGTTTATAGTGATCTTGTTTTTCCTCTTGTTTTTCCTCCTCTCTGCTGCGTTTATCTATTTCGTCCCCATCTTCTTCGGTCTCATCAAGAGCATATTCGTATCCCCACCCCCTCCTATTCACGCCATTGCCATTATCGGTACGTAAATAGATCCCTAGACCTACCTACCCTTTTAGAAAGGAGACAAAAATCTAACACGAACTCAAGGGGCTGGACCAGCTGGCATATGTGCGGCTCAGCACTTATACCACAAGGCGAATGCTCGAGGCATACACGTCAACATCACTATATTCGAGTCCGCCCCCTTAATCGGAGGGCAACTAGCTCTAAACAGTTCCACCGGCAGTCAAGTCTTTCCTTACGATGATCCCACGCAGGACCCTATCATCGCCGAAGACATCGCCGGAACCGGCTTATTATGGGGCAACCCGCTGTTTTCGAGGGCGTCGGAGAAGACGCTTGGAGACGAGGTTCGGACCTCTGAGGCCGGTAGCCAGCGGGTCAGCTAGTAAGTCCTGCAAAGCTACCCAAGAGCCGATCACGTCGGCGTTGACCATCTCCAGCTTCAACGGCGACCGCGTCATCGCGCAGACCACCCGGCCCTACACCAAAACACCGTTCTTCGACTGGACGGGGTTAATATTCCAATACGGAAGCTCCGTCTGGTCCGCCGGCGCCATGGCAAAGCAAGGCGCCGAACTACAAGACCGCCTCGTAGACGCGCCCCTAGTACCGGACCTCGCGCAACTCTTAATTTCCTTAGGTGTCTTCGACTACGCGAAGAAGTCTACGGGAAACGAGCTCAACGACCGCGGCATCGGCGGCGGCTACGTACCCGAAGTCCTGGCCCCTGAAGTCGGCCGCATGTACTCCCAGAACGTGGGAGATATCAGTGCCTTGGCACTAATGCTTGCCGCAGGCATAGAAGACACCGCGAACGCATATGAAGGCGGCGAGCTCCTCGAGAGGCTAGAGATGATCGTCAGTGCGATCGGTGCGAACGTCCGAGAGTCGACGGAAGTCCGCGGCGTCAAGTACGCACAAATCAACGAGCACGAATCCACTTGGCTCGTGCAATACACCACCCCGTCAGGACGTCTACAAGCCGAAGCATTCGAGAAAGTCATCCTCGCCGCCCCGAAATTCGACTTATACCGCGCCGCTTCCGCCGAGGACGTCGAGGCCGCTTCGATCCTAGCATATCGCGCGGCGTACGTTGCGTTTTTCACGGTGCCGAGACGAATCGACGCCTACGGCGACGTGAACCAGGTCCTGTTCCTCGAGAACGCCCTTGGAGGCGTCAGGGAACTAGCGTTCGTGAGAGACGTCGTCCGAGTTGAAGACGACGGCAGTAGTACCGTCGAATACTTGTACCGTGCTCTGGCGGACAGCGATGCCGTAGAGCAGCTGGAACAACTGAATCTGGGGATCACCTGGTTGTACCAGGAGAAGGTAAGCATTATCGGACCGGTTCGATGGAGTCGAATGCTAACGCGTTTACTAGCTTGAAAACGCCTACCCCTTTATATACCCATCTAGCCGATTTCTGCCATTTAAGCTATCCGACAAAGGCCTATGGTGGACGTCGGCCATCCACACGATCGCAAGTACGGTCGACACGAGTTGCCTAGCTGGAAAGATAGTTGCGGAACAACTTATTAATGGTTTGAAGAGATAGGCCAGAGATAAGTAAGGGCATTGGAGTTGATATTCCGAACATCCCAAATGCCACATACAGATATATCATCATAGTTAAACCTAATCTCTAGAAAGCATGCATGTTTTATGAAATGAGAAATGAGATTGATTCCCGTATCGCCTCTATAAATTACAGAAGTCCTGAGTACACAGGTGACGGGGTCCAAAAAACCAGATGATGCTTTTTTTTCGTTATCGCAAAAAAGGACTTTTTCTCCCCATTGCCATTTCCTTTGGATCAACGCAAAGCCTGCCCAACCTATCCATTTTCGCCCCTTAGATGCTGCGCTCAATCGTACACCTGTGTCTACGTCGTCTCCTAAGATTATGGTTTACATACCAAGATTACCCAGTCCTCATTTCATCTCGCCAAATTTTCACCACCTTATTTAGCAAAGTGGAGATCATATCCGAGCCACTTCCGTCGAAGGACCTGGTCCACGCTAAGACCGGGGTAGCCGTAGGTCAGCGGCAGGAAGAAGTACCAGCCGGCAAAGACCAAAGACAGAATGACAAGGCATGCGATCCATGCCGGGACCATACTCTGGCCGGCGAATCTCTCTCGGGCGGTGATGTGTCGCCGAGGGCCCGGAGCAGGCTTCTTGCCCGACTTGACATCCTCGTAGGACGGCTCCTCCGCAGACGGCTCGGCGTTGAATACAAATTCAAGCAGGGAGCCGACGATAAGGCATGATGCGAGATGAGCAGGGAGGTAGTGATGCAAGAAAAGCTGACGCCCCATAGTGAAGAATGGGAAATAATGTGTGGCCCACGCCAGGAAAAAGAATCCAGTGGAGTTATAAAGACGAGAACGAGTACCTTTGAACTAAGTTAGCTGGTGGATAAGGACGGGACAATAAAATTTTGACTCACGATGGTCTAGGGCATCAATGCCGCGGCGTAGAGACACCTGGTCAGCACCAACGATACCGGCATAAACGGCAATCAAACTGCTGGCAATCCACCAACCGATAGGGTTGCCCAGGAAGTAAATTTGCTGGCGCGTCTCGTTTTGTGTCCAGAAGCTGACTCCCCTCAGTAGGAATGGCCATTGGTACGGCTGGCTAGCATACGGGTGGCTGCTAGTCAACTGGCTGTTGTGCCAGAACATTGAACGCTGCAACTCGAACCACTTCCTAAGGAATGGTAGAGTTTTTACCTGGCGCTCTTGCCTCTGTCGACGGGGGGAATCAGCCGGGACAGACGGAACATCCTCCACGATCCAAACATTCGAACTAGGCGCAATCTGCTTGTTTCCGTTGATCTCCTGCTGTTTATGTCCCCACTCTGGGAGAGGCTTCGTATGTGTCCACATCGCTACTTTACTGGGATTATGGATCAACTTGAAATGGCTGGAAACACTCTTGAACTCTTGGTTAGGTTTGCCGTGTTCGATTCTGATCTCAAAAAGAGTTTCCGCTGCACGACTTCCATACGCGTCGGCTAGAGATACTGTAGTGAATTCCTGATTAGTAGGGTAGTAAGGAGAGGCAACATCGTGGGATAACAGAATCGTATCCGTCACCAAGTGTCGTAATCTGACGAGCTCGTGGTTCTTGACGTGGTGGCCCATCTGATTATCGTCGGTGACAGGAAGTATTTGCCAATAGTTGTTAGTATCATTGTACGGATATCCCGTCACCTGTTGACCTTGGCTAGAAACTCGGCCATCATCGTAGCGGAGAGGGTATCTCGCGTCGTGGCTATGAAGATAAGCTTTGGTTTCTTTGTGGCGTATAGTAATGGTGTCGTAGTAGTCAATGCCGATAGAATTGGCTAGCATGACATTGTCAGACAACGTCTCCTGGAACTCGGGGGTCATAAAATCATCGCCAGGGCCAGATCGCGTCAAGATTGCAAAATGAACCTGGAACCAGAATAGGTAAAATAGGAAAGGAATAATAATCAACCCGAGAGCACGAGCACCGAAATGGTAAGCGAATTCTCGAAGGTCTAATGCGCCGCCGGGCCGTCTAACGTCGAGTAACTCCCACAAGTCGATGATGACAGCTGAGCCAATAGTGACAAAGGCAAAGAGTCCAACATATTTAGTAGAAATATCGCAGGAGAGGGCGAAGCCGGTCAAAATGAGCCACTTCCACCATTTACGGCTGAAAGCCTCGTGTCTCAGCTTGTAGAACTTGATGTAGCATAGCAGACTGCATGCCATGGCTAACACAAGGGTAGCATCAAGTAGAATCAACCTAGTTTGACCGATGTGGGCGTTATCGAGAAGAACGAGACCAGCAGCGACGATACACGCCGGAAGACTATATCCTGACTCCCACATAATAAGGTAAGTCACCGAGACGGTCAACGAGCCAAGGAGTGCGGGCATAGAGCGAAAGGCCACGTAAGGGACCTTGTTCGCGATGTACGAATCACCGATGTTCTCGAAGTGAAAGTGCCCGTCGTATCCCACAAGCCATCCCATAAGGGCGAAGAGAAGTTTTCCGAACGGAGGGTGAACATCGAAGAAATAGGTTCTCTCGAGGTAGAACGAAGCAAACTAATTATGAAAGCAGGAATAAGCTAGTGTGTCTTCTATATGCTTTCTATTCGAAGCCTAGGGATTATATTCGCAAACGGTCTCTACTTACTTTACCGAAGTGAACTTCATCGAAGACAACTTCGTTCGGGTGGCTAATACCCCAAAATCTCGAAATGAAGGCCAGGACCGTGATCACAGCCAGAGCGACCTTGTAGTCCCATTCTGAGTGTTGTTTCTTGGTAACTTTCTTATTTGCCTTGACGAGGCTGTCGAGCTCCGAATCCACATCGTCAGAACTGCCATTCTTCTTTTTAGAAGAACCGGGGACATTCCGCTGGCGCAGAGTGCCCTGCGGAGTGCCCTGAGGGGGGGTCGACATGGTTATAAAGGAGCGCAGTTTAGAAGAAATTGATGTTTAGAAACTAGTAGGATCTAATTGTTAGTTACTCGGGTAGGTAGGATATTTCCATGCGGGTGAACACGTCGCAGTTAATGCGGTTGACGTGTTACCGCCACATTATAAGAATTGTAGTAGATGTAGTTAGATGTAGATGTACTTACAGAAATAAAGAAAAGGGTAAGATATAAAAAGATTACCAACCGCACGGCCAATTCGTAGGCCGAAAACTGCGATTGTTGACGCCAAAGTCGTCGAGAAGGATAGAAGATGGTGATCAAGAAGAAGTGTTCAAAAAGTCGGCCCTCATTAAAATCTTAGTTAACGCAGGGGAAGCTTCAGTCGCGCAAGCTTGCGTGGTGTTCCACTCTATACTACCATGTCGGTACCTAATATGACGGGTACAGTAGTATTGTACCTTGCCTAGCTGGGCGGATAGGGGTTATCAAGTTAATTTTGGCCACTTGGCAACACCTAAGCCTCACGCCCCCTTTTTTTTCTCACAGTGGGCTGAGTCGTACATAGGTACATCCATGTAAGTGAAGAAGTAAAGCTTGTGCCGAAACCGATCTCTTACGGACCTTTTATCGATAACCGATAACCGATCACCGATCTCATCTAGTTATCCGTTCTATGTGGAACATTTACAAACATCGATACCGAAGGTGCAAACAGCAACTTTTCTACACTTGATTTATATGTGCATGTATCTAATACATGCGTCGGATTACCTGCATGTACATTACTTACATAAATAGTCGGAGGACCTACTGTATAGACGTAGATAAGCTTGTGTACACTATGTACCTAAACAAGTTTGAGTAGGGCTAGCGCTACTCTAACCTCACCAAAGTTTACGTACAATACAAGTGTCTCATTTATGTACCTAACCACCCAAAGCTCCTCCCACTTAAGAAACGTGCTCAGGTAGTACGGGGCTTGGCAACTTCCCCCCCATCAAGAGCCGGGATGCCGAAGTACGGAGAGGACTGCGAGCCCTAAAAACTACAGCTTACAAATCTCCACTCATTAAAAACGATTACCTACAAGGGCGTCAATCGAGTTATTATTACATATTCTGGTCTATAATTTAGTCTAGCTATGCCCGTAGTTCTTCGAGCATCTCCAATTCGAGCACTTCTCTCATCTACAGTCCGTCGCAGCTTCATTCCAGCTTCCCGAACACCTTTTGTCTTCCGAGCTTCAACCCCTATCCGCACCATGTCTGACATCACTCCGGTTTTCTCCAAGGACGCAGCTCCGCGTAAGTGGAAATAATATAATATTAGAGAATAGTTAATATGAATAATAACTAACATAGTATACAGCTGCTGGACCTTACGTATGAACAGGACAGGTCCTGACATCCAATTCGCTCAGAGAGCTAATTAGCTATCATAGTCCCACGCCATCAAGACGCCAACTGCCATTTACTGCTCCGGCCAGATTCCCTGTGATGCCAATGGCAACCTCGTAGAAGGTACCATTGGCGAGAAGACGGCAGTCTGCATCTCCAACCTGAAGGCCGTCCTCACAGCCGCCGGTTCCTCCATTGAGAGGGTCGTCAAGGTCAACATCTTCTTAGCCGATATGTCGCTGTTCGCCGACATGAACAAGGAGTACGAGAAGTGGTTTACCCACAAGCCCGCCCGCAGCTGCGTAGCCGTCAAGCAGCTGCCCAAGGCTGTCGACGTTGAGATTGAGTGCATTGCTCTCCCTTAGGGATTTCTAAGCGCAATCGAAAGCTTGATCTAAATACGTTGATTGCATTCACCTAAAACTAGGCTAGGAGCTATTGTGCTCTCAAGGGGTATGAGTCATACTAGCTATCCGGACAGAATCATGTCACTAAGAATAAAAAGTAAATAAAATTGAAGGCACTTCAATCAAGTCGGGACCTAACGCTCTTCGTTAGCGACTTTTCTAGTACCTATATTTACTCTACTTATCGGTAATGTGAATATTGATCCGAGGAGGTATGTGTACCATACGTACCTGCCAAATAGGTATCTTCGTCACCGTAAGGGATGTTGCCCGGCTCACTTCCCATTCATCCTCCTCGGTAGTGTAGAGATCTGGCGTCGCTGGGGGATTAGGGGACCCCATCTCCAAGTCCCCATACGTATACGGCAAGTCTCTCCAACCACCGGCTTCACTAACAGGCGACGACGGCCGATCGATACTAAACGAGAACATCGACATGTCGAAATCAGGCTCGACAACGGAGGTGCCAAAGAGACCACTAGGCTTTCTCCCCGTCTCCCTCGGCTTTCTGAGCTGCAGCGAGGGTAGTTTTGACATGTTAAGTTTATTCCAACCGGTAGACTTACTGAAGTTGTATGCGATTATACCGGGGAGGCCGTATTTAGCGGCGACTTCGGCCTGTTTGCAGATCTGGTAAAGTTGCTTGACCGAGCGGATAGTTGGCTCGCGGAGTATGAGCTCGACTTCCTTTGTGCCTTTCGTCTCGGGACGTCGACGCGTTTGGTTTTCTACACGGTCACGTTCGTCGAAGAGCCTCGCTAGGTCGTATGGGGAACCGGAATGAAGATAGGCGAGCGTTTCTGCCATGCCGTAGTTCTGGGGTATGTAGTTCATTGTTATGGTATGGGCGCCATGTGCATTATTTTCTTCCCCGGACGATGAGGCATCCTCATGTCTCTTGTTTTTTGCATGGTCTTGACTTCTCCCCCCGCACCCCCCTCGGTCTAGTAGCTTTTTTATTGTCTTCATTTCGATGCTTGTCTTCTTTCTGCCCTATGTGATGTTTAAACTTGCCTGTAATTAGTGGTATATATAACAGCTTTATTACCAAATAGAACGCTTGCTTCTGACCGTTCGATGACGACGAGTGAAGCAACGGAGGTTTGCTACTCTCCCGACGGCCAAATATCTAACGTTGTTCTATTATACTTCCTCTGTGAGTTATTGTCTTGCTCGATGATTATTGTGGTACGGCAAAGGGGGGAAAGTAAATCTACCTACACAATTCACTCCTCTCTATATGAGTATTTTAAGGATCTCCAGTATCGATATATTCATCGAAGACATGCGATAAATAAGTGCTGTAGTTAGGAATTGACACGAAGTTCCACTGCTAAGTTAATACAACTCGAATTCTTCACGAGACTTACTCATATGTACTACAGGTAGTGATGTACTCAACTGGGGTAGATGCTCAACTCTGGGTATGTATCAATACGATAGTTATAACTCGATAGTATTCGAGAACAAATCAAAAACGCATTCGCCATATATAAACTAGGATAGAGATCTGACATTGTTTACGTATGAATCGGTTGTTCGTTGATAGTATATAAATATACGTCCCAGTCAATGCTATTGTGGATTACTTCTGAGCAGATGATTCAATAAAGAGCGGTTTTACGAAAATATCACTCTGCTTGTCTCGGTGTCACAGTGATTCTCCCAAAGTCACAAAGACACAATAATAGAGAAGGACAAAGAATACCAATCTCATAAAGTAAGGGGTCACTCCTGTTGACTCATATAACCACATCACAAGCACATTGATACCGTGAGAAAGATCTTGTCCGGTCGTACCTTCCTATTCTATTTAATTCTCACTCTACTGGAACTACCAAAGCAGTGTCTAGCATTGCTTATTGGTAGAAAAACAGTATCCCTTTTTTTTTTTTCAAGCTATCCGGTATAGCATTTCGATTCTTACCCTCCTTATTTCTTCGCTCGGACAAGAACGCCCTAGAAACACCGAACTATTACCAAGTTTAACTAGCAGAAACTTCACGATGTGTTTAGGTGTATGTTCCGATGACTATGATGACCAGAGGCCCCAGCGACAGCGACGGGACAGGGGTGATTATCCATCACATTTTGAACGTTCTCCACGTCGAGAAGCCACTCGTGCAGCTAAGAGCTACGGGTGGCCGCGCGACCATAATATGAATAGCCCCTATAATTACGGACAACCTGGAAATAGAGACTCACACGTCGAGCCCAACCTTGCGGAAGCTTTCGTTGGTCTCCCGGGTAGCGACTTCCGTCGTGTATACGACCCGGATCGCTCTCGACAATCCGACCGGGACCAGTACTATAGCCAGCGTTCCCAGTACCAGTACCCCAGCCAGCCTAGCCACGCCGCCATATCAGAACACTCCCAGTTGAAGAAGGTCCCAGGCGGGAGAGTAGAAGTCCATAAGGACAACCTGCACCGGTACAGAAGTATGCATGGGACCATTCATGGAGTGGTCCGTGAACAACCTAGGACGTCCGAGACCATGACCATGAACCCTAGTCGGCACCAACAGTCATCCCGGGATATACGTCGGGGTTCTGTAGATAGTAACGGGGTTAGCGACATTTCTAGCGAAGACGACGAGGACGACAATGATAGGAGGAGACTTGCTTATACCCCCTCGCCGTTAGCTCACAGGGGCAATGACCTCTACTCCCGCACGGGATATGGCTATGGACGCCAGGGCGCGTTCTAAGAGGATGCCGCGCGCTTAATTACTGTGAGTCTTCTGAATATATCATACATAGATAGTTCTCGGCTACGTAGAGAAGATATCACTACTACTATACCCAGGCACGAGTATCGAAATAAGAAATGCCTGTTTTAGCGAGCATAGGTACCAAGAGAATGGATACGACGGTTCGTTTTCCCCACGCTTAATTAGACTAGAGGCATGTTGTATATCTTTGGTCACTGACGATGATGATAATCTACAGGTGAGCAATAGTGAGGAGGAATCTAGACTTTAGACCTAGGTACATATCGTAGTGTCCATTTGACATGGTTACCTGTTAGTAATTTGATTTTGAATTCGTAAGTTTTGTTCGGTAGCGATCTGTAAAGCATCTGCCTTCCCCTAGTACTCACCCCATTGTTAACGTGATACTGCATACATAATAGTAGATTTGCGCGTTCAAGTTACGTATTCCATGACGAGAGATCTGAATCGAGATAATAGACCTATATACAGACTACAGTAGCTCAGGCACCGATATTCTACATACATTGACGCGCGGGTGTGGTGAAAGGCATCTAAATTCCGGATGATTTTATTGGTTGGCGGTATCGTCGTTATGGGTCGTCAATATTGATCAATTGATAGGGCTGACGACCACAGATAGACGACTTTGACGACTTTTGACGGCATGGCGTTATGGATGCGACGGTGGTACGTGTCAACCAATCGTCGCCAAGAGGAGGGGAGGGGGTGAAGAGGGCAGATCTAATCTTGGGACCCTCTTGGGGACCCTTTGAATCTACAGTAAAAACTCGATATAACGAATCTAGTACATAGCGAATTCACTCTATAACGAATTTGATACTATGTTTTATTAAATTTGTATGTATTTTAACGAATCTTTTTATATAACGAAATTCGTTACTTTTGGAGATTAGTTACCACCAAATTCGTTATAAAAAAGGCAAAGCTATACCGTTTTTAGCTTAACAATCGGCTATTTCGGGGAAAACTTTACCTAGTTTCGCTTAAGCTTTTAATTTTAAGCCTGTGTTGGAAGCACCTTACCCTTTTCGGAGGTACATTATAAATGTACCTTATTTGCTACATAACGAATTTACGATATAACGAATTTAGGTCTTTGTTTTTTGCGATTCGTTATATCGAGTTTTTACTGTATCACATTTGCAGAACTGGAAGCAAACAAGGTTCATAAGTGCTTACATGATACCTCCATGCACATACCTAGCAATGTTTTAGTAACGAGGGTCCAGAAGACAGGAAGACTGCGAGTGGTTGAATTAGCGATTGCGAAAACACCCCTGAATGGAGGAATCGCATCATCAAAATTAGCGGGATCGAATAGAGTGTTGACACCGCAGCATTCTCCGTTGACTCATAGTGTAGTGTAAATCTCGGAAGCTTACAGGCATTGGTTTTTATCTCATGCAGCAAATCCCCAAAGTTCCTGCAACTTCTACTCCAGTGCTTCTTGTAGCACAGAGAATTTATGATAGCCTTAATTGTGGAGATTCCTGATTCCTGATTGGAAGAACGATAGAAAGAATAGATGCAGGGCGGTGCTGTCATTGTTCATGTGCTCCGCTGAATCGATAAGAAGATCAAATCAATTATCAAGCCGCACCTTTCTAAAGACGGGAATGACCAATCTCGCAGATGCGATTTAGGAGATAAAACCTAATACCTTAGGTGATGTATAATACGCGAGTCTTTGAATTTCGCATCTGCGCAAAACACCCCCTTACTACATAGAAGTTTCCGAAAAGGACGCGGACGGAATTCTACAACTGACCTAATTACCGGTGAAACAACTCTACAATAGTGCTATAAGTTGACGTCACAGGGTAGGAATAAAGTTGCCGGTCGGGGCAATTAAACGAAACATGACCGAGCCGGATAGACTGGATACCTCTTTTAGGCCGGGAGCGAAGCTTTGTACGAATAAGAAAAGGGGTCCTCGGACAATTAGCAACGCAACTAACAATTAGTTAGGGGTCTAAGGTTATTTGTTCTTTTCACAATAATGTAAATCGATACGACTTTATTGTGAATCGTCATACGACATGGGAAACGAGGTCCCTCCGTCTGGAAGGAATCGTGGCTACAGAAGAGCGTGGAACCACTCGGTTCTTATGTACGTTATCTACGAAGTACAAAGTATTATTATGCGCATCGGGTATCATGTATTATTAATAAAGTAAAGTAAACAACGTATTTCAAGGCTTAGCGCGAGTCCAGCACAGCTTGTCCGTAGATCCTGCAGGGCCAGCGTTGCTAATCATTATGCATAATATCTATCTATCTTCGACCTCTCTTCTTCCGATCTCTATTCTTACTTGTCGGCGTGTTCCACAACACCACAGACACGAATGGAGATGGTAGCTTGAGATCTGTTTGGTATGAACCGCAGGAGGTGATTAAGGTTTCTATACGTGTCCTTCTATCGTAGTATTTACACATGTATGTAGGTTAGGTAGTTTATAGTCATAGTCGAAACGTGGGTAGGATGTTAGATTTGGCAAGTGGCATGATGTATGAGAGACATTCTGGATCTTTGGCAGGAACATTGAACGTTAGAATATGGACCATGTAGGTAGTGTAAGCGAACTATGAATTAACTATGGATTAAGAAACGGGGTCGCGTCCTCATATCCGGTTTAGCGCGAGGCGTAGGTCCCTAGATAGGCGCAGCAGCTGAGTTACATACATACATCTGCCCTAAAAGTACCCTAGGACTTTTAGCGAGTATTTCATGATAGTGCGGAAGTGACGGAAAATGTTAGTGAACCATTAGTGATGCAGCAAATCATAGTGGGTACTACCTAGCCACTACTTTTAGAACCATCAAACTCGACTTGGGACTTGGTCTAGGAACTTGACAAGGGTGGTCCTTGACAGTTCCCCCCAGTCCCCATAGAAGACGGCTGCTGCCTAAATACCTTCTCCATCCTTTTCACAACGACTTCCCATCATCTCAAACCCCCAAGAGCCCTTACCCTTCTTCGACTCTTCGTCCTTTCCGGCGCCTCTTTTCCTCGACCAAGCGAGTAAAGCGTTCTTGCGCAGCCAGCTTTACCTATTAACAATTCATCTGTCGTATCTCTCTAAGGCTGCCATATTATTTTGTCCTATTGTGTCCTCTTTTATCTTGTCCTATCTATTACACCGGCTACGTAGGTTAGCTTGTGAAGAACGAGCCCTCTTCTCTGCTGAAGTTGGCGACACATTGTCTATATCTCGACTCAATTTTGTCTTATTTTCCGCGAAACGCGCATCAGCACATACATATACATAGTCCTTCTCTCTTTCTACGCATGAGCTCATCTGTTCCGTGAACCCGCTACTCATGTAAGAAATGTCCTGTCCTATCCCCGGGGTGTTCTTCTAGCCCTACCACATATATATTTCACTTTCCTGTCTCGTCCGAGACCCATCGATTGACCAATGTCAAGCTGTCAATTGTGATATGTTTTTCATTCCTCAGGCCATCTGAGACTCGGTGTGGGAGGGCCCTTATGACTCATATGACTGCTCAGCCTTATGGTGCATAACTGTGCTAACCGGTACCGTGGTCTTTACAGAGTTCAGAGCAACGATATCATCGATCGCCTCTCGCCTATCATAAATCTGTTCCCCACACCCGTTATACCGAGTCATCATCATGTCCTTCTCCAACCCTCGAAGGACCCCGGTGACTCGCCCGGACTCAGGTTCCGGCAATGGTCTAACCGTTAAGACGAACCTAACCCTACGGAAGGGCGCAACCTTCCATTCTCCTGTCACCCCGACTAGTCCATCTGCTGCTACTCCATTCAGAGTGCCCTCGCTACCTCGACGCTCTCAGACCAGTCTTGATGATGTTGTCGATGCTCATAAACGTCGTGCTGCCTTAAACATTAGCAAATTCGAGGTGACCCTGTCGGCTATCAAGGCCGAGCAATCAAATCCTATAAGCCCCTTCTCGGACGACTGTCCTCCTATCCCCAGAGGCTTCCTGGACAATACTCTAGTAGGAGACACAATGTCCGAGGAGCCAACTACTTTCGAGCCGGAGCGAAGGACGCTACGTCCTCGTAGCCGTCGCTCTTCCCACCACCACGAGTCTGATAGTGGGTTGGGAACATCCATTGCGTCCACAAATCAGAAGCGGAAGGAGGCTAAGTCTTCTGGCACTGGCGCTTCAGCTATAACAAGGTCGGCCACGGCCTCTAAGTCTCAGAATATTCAACGTCTTAGCCCGCGTGCTAGGAATCGCATCGCTGAACATATCCTGAGACCGCTATTAAGCGAGCCGTCACTAAAAGACTTTCATCCCATTGTCCTTGACTGTCCCAGAAGGATCCAGGAGGACCAGATCGTTTGTCTTAGGGACCTCGAGAAGACACTTATCTTTATGGCACCGGTGAGTCAATTAATGAAAGACCCTAGTGTATGTGGAGTTACTTATCGTTGGTTGTGCTTGAAGGAGACCGCAAAGTCTGTCGAACTATATCGCGACTTCTGCCTCACTTCGATTCGGTGCATCCAAGCTACTGTCGAATACCTTAGCGATCGAGAACAAACCCGGCCTCACGATCGACCTTACAACAGCGGCTACTTTATTGATCTTGTGGAACAAATTCGTCAACACGCGCAACAGATGCAAGAGGCTCGCAAGAGACGGGACGCTGGAGAGGAGTTGGACGAGATGGATGTTGATCCGTATGATGCCCGCCATAATCCTAGTGTTTGCACGTATGCTAACCTGACGGACAGAACTGATGAGGTGAAACTTGTTGGTGGTCTTACAACCAACGGTCGACCAGCGGAGTTAGTCCGCGTAAAGAAGAATGGCAAGGCGATCTCTCTAGCCACCGGAAAGCCTGTTGAGGACCTTGAGGAAGAAGTAAAAGGCCCAATCCGATTTAAGCGTTCCATGAGCGAGCAGGCCGAGGACGAAGAAGAAATCATGCGATCCATGGCTCGCCGAAAGAAGAACGCTTCGCCAGAGGAGCTCGCTCCTAAGAAATGTGCCCATCCGGGTTGCAGCAAGGAATTCAAGCGACCCTGTGATCTGACGAAGCATGAAAAGACGCACTCTCGTCCCTGGAAGTGTCCTATTCCTACCTGCAAATACCACGATTATGGTTGGCCTACTGAGAAGGAGATGGACCGACATGTCAACGATAAACATTCGGCAGCTCCTCCCATGTTCGAGTGCCATTTCAAGCCGTGCCCATATAAGTCCAAGCGCGAATCCAATTGCAAACAGCATATGGAGAAAGCGCACGGCTGGACATACGTTAGGACCAAGACCAATGGTCAGAAGAAATCAAGCAAAGCTGGCAGTTCTGCCCAACCTACGCCTCTGATTAAGGGCTTGCCTACCCCGAGCAGCGAGCAAACCGACCTCGTGATGACACCACCCGAAGATCCTCTATTTCTTCACTACAACAATGAGCACGAATTTCCGACATATCCGTCGGATCAGGAGTTCAATGCTAGCTTATACGAGCATCAACCGTTTGACAATGACATCCAACTGGAATATTCTCCGGTTGACAACAACACGCCTTCTAGCGCCGACTCTGACCACTTCAACACTTTCGAAGACCTGAGCCCCGAGTTCACTGGCCAATTCGAAGATCTCTACAATGCCCATGTACAAATACCTACACCGACACACTCGGTTTACAACAAAGACATCAGTGCTTTTGCAAACTTCACAGCGGATCCCTGCCAACAGTTTTCCATGCCACAGTTCTCAACTCTCGGCCAGGGTAATCAACTCATGTTGACACCGCCAACTATGGTGGACGAGGGCTTTGAAGACTTCCAGCCTTGTCACAATCAGTTTGGCCAGGACTTCGCCCTGTTCCCTGCTGGCACGATGGATAAGTCGAGTGATTTTTCTCTTTTTGGAACTATCCCACCTAGTCTTGCTGCTGGTTATAGCCAACCATCTTTAAAAGATTTTAGCATTGAATATCAGCCCGAATATCAACCCATGGATTGGACAGCATCAGAACTTCAAGGCTTTCCGCCCATCTAGTTGTTTATAACTAGTGGGGGCATTTGGGCCTATTGTTGGGTGGACAGCAATTTTGGTGACTTGTGTGCTTTGCATACGTTCTCGTCATGCTGGTTTTGTGCCAACTTTTGATGATGTTATGATGATAACGAGTCGCGCGTATTTTGAGCGGATTTAGGGAAAGTCGATGCCAGAATGCCATGGTGGTTGAAGATTACGGCATATGTGCTGAGGATTTAGGGTTAGATGGACAGCGCTCTGCTTGTCACACCCTGTGTACAGATTCATATTATTTTGCATAAAGTTTAGCTTTGCTGATATGTCTACGGATGTTTTTTGATATGGCAAGGAGCGATCTCGGAAACAACATAGCTCGGGAATTTTGCAGTCTTAGTTGCAGAATAGGGAGACAGAGAGAGGCATCTCCAATAATGAGAAAAAAATTCATTTACATGCCTCTTATTTCGAGATAAAAGCGACTGGTCTACATATTTCTAAAACTGCCAATTTTGTGGCAGGAAAAGAAATAAAATACCTCCTGATAGGTCAATTTGATACTGTGAATCGAACTGGTGGAGTCGTACCCAGGCCGTCTGTCTGGCGGTTGGCAAACGACCCGCTTTTTATTTTAGACCCAATTCATCCATGTCGAAATTTATCTGCAAAGGTTTTTTTCCTTTCTTTTGCTTCTGCTCTTTACATCTTCCATCTCGATTATCCGAACTTCACCGTCCGTCGTCTCCTACTTTTATCTAGGTAGGAGACTCGTCCCTCGCTTTGGAAATAGGTAAGCCTTCTATTTTTTTTTACACCTGCAAATTCTTTTTGTGTGTGTACATTATATATAATGTACACCGCCGCCGCCGCTGCCGCCAATTGCTATGATGACCCCGACACCGCAAGTGTCGAACCTTACCTCTCAATTTAGGAAGAGCCGTATGAGACCGTCTTCGGGGGCGGGCGACTGTTTTTTTCCCCTTTCCTTTCCTTTCCTTTCCTTTCTTTGGGGAGGAAGGGGGAGGGGAGAGCTGGCGTTCTGCTCTCCTCGGCTGAACCGTGCGTGTTTCCCGCGTTTTTCTACCTGCCGGCCGTATGGGCGCCGCGCGTGCATCGCCACGTGCTGCCGCGGTGCTCGGTGTCGACGGGTGGGCGTGGGAGCGCCGCGGGGAGGTGGGGATGTGTTGTGCTTAGAATATTTGGTTTCTGATGCCTTGGCGGGCTTTATGCTTCATTTTTTGGTTTCATGACGGTTTGAGGACTGGAACTTGGAGCTAACTTAATGATTCTAGGATTTTATTGTTGGTATCTTTCTAGCGAGGCAGGTGGATGGATACAGATTGGATGGGGATTCTAGATCGGACTACAATCGGCTTGTAAGAAAGAGTTGGAAAAAGTTCGCTGAAGATTACGCGTAGTCTTACGCGTAGTCCTAATCGGACTCTATATAGATAGTTTAGGTAGTCAATGATAGGTATTAACCTAGTCTCTATTAACTTTGATTCGAACCTCAAACTCCCTGTTTCTATGATATTATTCCCTTTTTGCCGGCCGAAAAAATGATGGACCTATTACCAGAGATTTCTTGAACGCCATAGACCGCACCACGCTTGGATATACAACGATCGACTCTAAACATTCGATCAACTTCACCAGTAAAGACGTGTTGTTTGTTAGGCCTTAATATCTTTTATCCAGTCCGCGTGCGCGATGTTCTCCTGGGAATCCTTGACCATAAAACTGCAGGTCGTGGTAAGCTTGATACTAGATATAAGCGCGGAGAGTTAATAAGCCGCCAACTTACTTGTACCATAGTATGGTAGGGCCGATGGTGCCTAGGTGCCATAGACTGTGCGCGTCCAAGGCTCCCCACAACGGTGGGAAGTCCAGCAGTTCCAAGCCCATAACCGTCATAATCCACGCAACGGCGATACCCGGCCAGATGGCCCACGATCGATGGGTCGCGGACCACCTCTTCAAACTGAAGTAGCTCCAAAGACTGTTTTGTATTAAGCCCACAATTACGTTGGCGGTCATATTATATGTGTAATTCCAGCGCCACAGCTTTAGGTATGCGACGTGCGCGGCGTATAAAGCGCAGCAAGTAACGGTCCAAATCCGAAGAAGGCTGCGGCGTCGGGGCGTGGGGCGGTCGAGGCGGAAGACGCGGATCGGGGTGTAGTACATGCCGTAGAGGACGCCAGCGCCAGCAGCGAAGTAATCGAGCTGCTCAGTGAAGCGGAAGTCGCGGGTATGGAAGATAGCGCTGAAGATCCAGGTCGCAATGCCGAAGTACGCGAACATCTCGTAATACCGACGCAGCGGGTACGCCGCCGGGATCGACCCGCGGACCTTGGTCAGCCCATTATGATGCGCTATCAGGTTTCCCAGGCTAAACAGCACCGAGAAAGGCTCCTGCATCCCGAGAAACCGCTTAAACGGCCATTTTCCATGGAACTGCGTTACGGGCTTCCCCGCGGCCACGCGCCGCTGCGTCACGATATGCTGGCACGTGTAGTCGCATTCCTGCGGACAGGTCCAGAAGAGGAGGCGGAGGTGGAGGGCTGCGAGAGACGGAGAAGCTCTAATGTTAGCCCAGATAGCTGTTTGGAGGCGCGGTTCGAGCTTCTCGCGGTGAGAGGTACATACGGATGTGGGTAGGGTTATTATTCGGATCGCAATTCTCACGGGCGCAGACCTATATATTTATTTAACGGAAACCGTCCGTGTTAGTCAATTTTTTATTTTTATTTTTATTTCTTACATAGATCTACGGTGCCGATGACCCGGCCCCTCTAGCCAAGTCGGCACATCATAGCCGTAGCCCACGTATATATATATGTATGGTATATAAGACACGTTAGGAGGGTATTTACACACGAACCTTGACGCATTCCCGGAACTCGGGTAATCGATCGCCGGTGGAAGCTTCGGCGGTGCTCCATAGCGAGCAGAGGGCGACGAGGAGGAGGGTCAGTAGCGATTCTGGACGAAGCATCTTGAGTCGGGCTGCATTGGCTCTTTGGGAGAGGGGGGAGGAGCAAAAGAGAAACTGGAGAATGCGAAACACAACACAACTCTCGGTCTCGGGTTTCCCAAGCAGCCCGGATGAGAAATCTGTCCTAGGCAGCCGGGACGGGCTTGTGCAGGTTGTCTGATTGGGCGCCTCGCTGGCGGTGGATGCGAGCGCGAATTGAGGGATGGGTTTTTTTTACATAGGGGGTCTTTGCGGGTGGGGTTGGGGGGCAGGATGATCGCGCCGTAGAAAAGAAAAATATACCTAATGTATAACCCCCTAATGGCTAACGGGCAGAACGGGTCAGTAAAAGGTAGATCGTCATAGCGCGATTGAAACGCCGGTGGTGGAAGCCGGACCCGCCAAGAACAGCAATTGACGTATTGACGTCTTGTATCGGTACCCCGGATTCTTGGCTGTAATTTGGTGCATCACATGTACCGGTAACTTTCCTATCTGGTTCCAGTAGTGCAGTTAGGTAGGTACATTAACCTTTTTCTTTAGTGACGCTCCTTTTTATGAAACGTTAGGGTAGCTTCCTCGAGCTTTACTAGCTTTGCTAGCTTAAAGTTATTCCGAGGCAATACATACAATGCGATTCTTTCCTTACCCAATTGTCGCTTTGACAATTGTTGCTTTGACGAATTTAAAGCTTATTAGCTCCAAACCCCTCTAATATCTATTGGCGTATTAACAAGTTGACCTTGTATACTAAACAATCAATAGGTAATAATGGAAGAAGCTATGCGCTTCACGTATTGGTAAACGAAATGATTTATGACATATTAGATATTAAAAACAACACACTCAGAGGTTGAGTCACGTTGTCTTGATTAACAGATTCAACCTGCTCTTGCTAATGTTATACCTATGCGACGATCCGCATCTTCACGATGAGGGTCCAAATGTCCATATATAAGGGACAACCATAGAGTCACATTTGGTATTTACTACTTAGAGGTAGTCACGGCAATGTAATGGTTCATATTAGCAGGCCTATTGAAGCTTGTGAGCCGCAATGTCTACTATTTCGGTATGTCATATTACCCGGAATGCTTCCCTCCGCGGGCCATTATAACACCGTCCAGTGGTTTATACTATGTTTATATCTCAAAGTTCGCCGTGCTTCGGTTCGCTGATTTGACTGTCTAATCATGTTCTTCTTTTCTCCCAACTGGATCAAATTCATACTCTAGAAATGAAGCTATCTCTGGTTCTTTTGTGGGCGGCAAGCGCTTTTGCCTCCCCTCTCCGCCGAAGCGCTGCAAAGTTATCGCCAGTCACGCGCAACGGGACCAGTCTCCTGGTTGACGGAAAGGTCTGGAAGATGGTTGGGCCAAATGTCTACTGGCTAGGCCTCGACGAGAATGTGACACCTCCCGCTGGGGAGCCGTTCTATGCTCCTACTAAGGCTAGCTACCCTACCAAGGAGCGTATTACCGAGGTGATGGCAACTGTACAAGCTCTGGGAGGTACCATGATTCGCGGGCATACCTTGGGTATTAGCACCGGGAACCCCCTGAGCGTTGTGCCAGAACCAGGAGTAGTCAACGACAAGGCCTTCGACCCAATCGACTGGGCCGTCTACCAAGCAGGCGTATACGGTATCAGACTACTAATACCGCTGGTGGATAACTATGTTAGCTCATATATCAGACAATCAGATGCAGCTATAAGCTCATATCTCGATAGGACTATTATCACGGAGGGAAATACAACTTCCTTCGTTGGGCAGGTTTCGACCTGAATCAAAGACGGGATGAGAAGAACCCTCTAGTTCAGCAATTCTACACCAATACCACCATCGTCTCTACCTTTAAAGACTATATTAAGACGATCGTAACTCACAGAAACCAGTACAACAACCTTACCTTTGCTGAAGACCCTACAATCTTTGCGTACGAGACGGGGAACGAGCTCCTCGGTCCTGTATGGGGTGATATGAACTCACCTGTAGATTGGGTACAAGATATCGCCAAGTATGTTAAGAGTCTTGCTCCGCAGAAGCTAGTAGGTATGTGAATATATACATCCCTATATATATATATCCCGATAATTCATACTCATATATACCTATATATTTATTCCCAACAACCACGCCCCTATCTTCTACCTCCTTACGCTCGACTACCAAGTCCTAAGGAATTACACTAAACCCATACATCCAGTCGACGGGACTTACGGCATCAACAAAACCCACCTAAGCATCCAAGAAATCGACATCTTCTCCGACCACATGTATCCCGTCGACACAGCCAAGCTGCAAGCAGATATCAAACTCGTCGAAGCTGCCGGGCGCCCGTTCTTCGCCGGCGAGTACGACTGGGTCGGCGGCAACACCGCCAACCTCCAATCCATGTTCAAGATCATCGAGGAGAGTCCTGCCGTTGCAGGCGATACCTTCTGGAGCCAATTTGGCCACAATGCTCCTGACTGCCAAGTAAGTATTTTTTTTTTTTTTTTTTAAAAAAAACCGTCCTATACCTTAGGTACCTACCCAGTTATCATCACCGTAAGAAATAGCACTAAGTTTATTTATTACAGACCTACGTAGACCACAGTGACGGCCTCGCGCTTCAGTACGGCAACCCGAAGAACACGGCAAACCAGAACAGTCGCATCCAGCTTATACGGAAGCACTTCGTCGCCATGAGCCAGGGCAAGGATATCGCGCCGGATGAGCCTTTGCCCGAGGTACCGTGCCCGGCCCCTACGTCGCTGTCGTTCCGTTAGGGAACTATCTTTGGCCTGGGTATGATGACGAGGACGACGGGGAGGGCTCGTATTGGCCGGACACTATGTAATATAAACTGTCTGCTTGAAAGGGGAAGTTTTTGTATCCATATAGTAGTATCACGGACTTGAAAAAAGTATGAAAAACTACGGCGCTTATGACAAAGCCTAGGAATATTTATGTGACCTTAGATCTTGTGGAGTAAACCAATCGGGGAAATCATTCCTACTGGGATGAGAAGTGATGATATGAGCCCCTTGCCCCTAGCTGAGACAAGCGGCGCAATATGCAAAAAATTATAAATCAAAACGTCGAAAAAACATCGGTGACTTATCATTCAGCTATAGCTATTTTTCGTAAGACATATTCATAATACGTAAGAGCCCGCCTCCTCAGCCTTAGCTTCTTAACGACCTCCCCCTAAGACCCTTCACCAATTTTTGAGAACCCCGAACTTGTCTACGATACATGATTCTTGCTCCATCGTGTATCCCTACCTGCTATCAAGTAGAATTCATACGTGCCACTAGCCTCCGTATGCCTTCACTATAGCGGCGACCTTGTTCGCGAGCTCGTCGGCCTCGGATCTCGTAGCCGCCTCCGCGTACACCCTGCATGCGTTCTCTGTCCCGCTAGCCCTAGCGAAAGAGCGGGCGTTGGTGTACTTCTTCACAACCTTGTCGATCTCGTCCTGGCAGTGCTCCGGGTGGCTAAGTCTTCGCTCTGCGTCTGTTGTTCGGAAGAGGTCCTTGTTACCGACTTCGACGCGGACGAGACGGTTGGGAAGATCCTGGTACGTCATGGCCCAGTCTCTCAGCGACCACCCCTTGTGTGCCAAGATAACTTCCACCATGAGCATATCCGATATCGCATCTCCAACGGTCTGGTTGATGAGATCTCCAAGGGCGCTGAGAGTCTCGAGAGCGTCCTTCTGCGCGGGCGACTGGGGCTCCTTGGTCTTGAATACCTGTAGGGCATCTTGAGAGAAGAGGACGGTGCCGTGACCGTTCGCCTCGAAATATACGCCAATATCATACGAGCAAGCGGCGTGGTGGAGGTGCTTGACACCCGTAGGCGTACAGATGACAGGGATCTGTAAGTGTTGCTCGACATATTTTGTGCTTGATCCGTTAGCGTAAGCGGTCTGGACTAGACCGATACGAAGCTGACCCTCTAAGCCAGCAGTGCGAATGAGGTCTGCAATGAACGATGCAGCCAATGTCGCGATGCGATCCCCGTCGAGCATGAAGAAGCCGGTATCCGGGTCGATCCAATAATACATGAGGCGGTCTGCATCACCGTCCAGAGAGCACCATCTCTCGCCAGGAGCGGGCTTGGGGCTCGCCGGTGCTCGCTGTCTAGTCTTGACGAAGTCGGCACCGCAGTCTAGGTTTAAGACTTCCGGACGTAGGACGTCATCGTTGGCAACCCTAACCTCCAGGCCTGTCTTCGAAGAGTCGTGATGCTTGAGGAGCTCACTAAGCTTCGGGCCACCAACACCATTGGCACAGTCGACAGACAGCTTCCCAGAGACCCGTCGCCCGCGGAGTGCGCGGTAGAAAGCTTCGACAAGCTTCTTGTAATACCCGGTCTCGCTGACCTCACCATATGAGCCAGGGGTTCCGGCGGTATTGATACAACGGGTTAGATAGTGGAGCTGAGGGGTTGTGAGGATCTTGAAGTCGGTGTAGACGGTATTCGTAGCAGCTAGAGAGTCGGCAAGGGCTGTAACGAGTCTCTTGCCCGAAGGACGAGTGTCTCGACCGGCAATGACCTTGCCGGAGGAGGTTAGGTCGATCTTGAGAGAGTCGGCTAGCTTGTAGAAGTAATCGACAAGCTCTTCGTGGCTTGGGGCATTGACGAGGTTTGTGGCATGTACTTCCCACTCTTGCTCGAGCATATCTCCCATGGGATCAACAATCTTGACACCGTTATCCACAGCAGGATTGTGACTAGCGGTGATCATTACGCCGATGGTTTGGCCGTTGAGTTTACGACTCCGGAGAGCAGACAGGAGTCCGACTCTGAAGGTGACGCCATCTAGAAGGTCGGCATTCATACGAAAGCCCGCAGTACCGTATTTGTACACTCTTCCGGGGACTATATCGTGCTTCTTCGAAGCGGCGAGGATTGCGTCTCGGTCCATCTTCGAAGGGGCTAATATTCAGTCTCGAGATGCGATACACAGTTGATAAAGATCTCTTTTTTGTGGGATTTGGGATTTGGGATTGTTAAATCAACTATGAAAGCAGGAGACCTTGAGATGGGGTTAAGGGTTTAAATATAAGGGACCAAGGAGTTAGATTTTAGTTAGCTTTATATGAAATATGTACGAAGCTAGAAAAGTCCAAGTTGTTGTAACATCGAAAGTATCGAACGAGTACTAAGCGGGTAGCCTAATACGAGGTAGTAACCCCTCCCTCTCCGTCGCTAAAACTTAAGTACTCACCCACTAAGTGCTTAATTCTAGGTACATGCTACTAAGTATGCTACTAAGTACATACTACCAGGTACATACATACTGACATAGTGGTATGGCCCCGCGCTAGGAGAATCTGACGCTACCCGAGCTGCAGGGTTGAGAACCAGTCCGAGAGCCAGTCAGAGCGCAGCTACCAAGAAGGTGGGGTCGAGTAGTGGCCCAAGAGCTCTAAGCTGAAAAAGGCACCTCTCAGCCCCTGCAACCTTACCGAGTTTTCTTTCCCTTTATCTTGGTAAGTTGTAGAGCATTTTGCTGGTTGTGGTCACCTGATTTCGCGATTGGCGTTGCTTCTGCTAACGCGCTTAAGTCGCGTCTTATCTTCTTAGATTATAATACTAAATTGACATCGCCTTAAACGATCGAAATGCCGTCTAATGAGCCTTGCGCTAATCCTCTCCTCCTAGGATGGATAGAGGAATGGATTGAAACAGCTCGGGATCAGAATTCGAAGGGACTTTTAGTTTATAAGAAGGCATATGAATCCCTCAAGAAATGTCCGATGCCCTTCCAACATCCTTCTCAATTGCAACAATTAAAAGGATTCGGTACGACGTTGTGTAATCGCTTGACCGAAAAACTGAAGAAGCACTGCGATGATAATGGATTGCCTATGCCTAAGCGTCCGAGGCAATTTATCATCCCTGGCTTGGCTAACCAGGATGAAGATGAAGAAGATGGTGCTGCAGAAAGACCACCTAAGAGACGAAAGACGAAGCCTTATGTGCCAGCTCTCAGGTCTGGCGCCTATGCCATAGTTCTAGGTTTGGCAACGCTTGAGGAAGGTAATCGTAATGGAATGACGAAGCAACGATTGATCGAGGCTGCTCAACCTCATTGCGATGCATCTTTTACCGTTCCTTCTGACCCAAAAAGTTACTACACGGCTTGGAAGTCTATGACAACCCTTGTCGAGAAGGACCTCGTCTATGAACGCGGTAGACCAACTAGAAGGTATCATTTGACCGAGGAGGGATGGGAGGTGGCACGACGGATTCAACAAACAACAAATCCTGGTCAACCTAGACTGGTTGAACCAAATGTAGAGCTAGATCTTCAAGGATTTGAACTTGTTCTCCGACGGCTTGCCAATAGGTCCTCATCCCTGGAAATACAAGATCCGCCTAGGAATGAATCTAGCTATTCCGATGTCGTCGCCAATGGCGATCCGGCATCAGGAAACTCAGCATTGCCGAATTTTAGGCCAATTCGTCTTGCTCCCGGATCCTTTGAGGTGCGTTTAGTATTAGACACGCGTGAGGTCCGGGCAAAGACCGATAGAGACTACAGTAAGCAATCTCCTGGTTTGATACTTATCACACCATGTAGGCCGAGAGCATTAAATTCGACTCTCAAAACAAAACGCCTCGTTTGTCGAATCCAGGAAACGGCTACTAACCTAAATCGTCACAGTACAAAATGAACTGGCAAAGAATGGCGTCAACCCGATGGTGCGTGCCCTGGAACTGGGCGACGCTCTCTGGGTAGCCAAATGCCACGATGCAAACTTCCTTCCTCGACTTGGCGCCGAGGGAGATGAAATCGTGCTCGATTATATCGTAGAGAGAAAACGGCTCGATGATTTAATCGGAAGTATCAAAGACGGCCGTTTCCACGAGCAAAAGTTTCGCTTAAAACGATCCGGCATTAAGAACATCGTTTACATCGTCGAAGAGATCTCGATGGATTCGGAAGTGCTAGATAAACGCGCAGAAATGGTGCAATCCGCCATCGCGTCGACGCAGGTCGTTAACGGCTTCTTCGTGAAAAAGACGCAGAGGATGGATGATACCATTCGATATCTCACACGCATGACTATGCTGCTAAAGAAGCAATACGAAAGCAAGCCACTACTCGTTATCCCCACCGAAATCCTTACCGCGCAGAATTATCTCCCGCTCCTCGAGCATCTTCGCCAGAAGGAGCCTACAACAGGGCATTATATCACCTACCCGGCATTCGCATCTTTGGCGTCGAAATCCGACATGATGACGCTGCGGGACCTCTATCTAAAGATGCTGATGTGTACCAGACAGGTCACTGGAGAGAAAGCCCTCGAGATCCAAAAGAGATGGAAGACGCCTTACGAATTCGTAAAGGCTTTCGAGAGCTGTGGTAGCGGGGAACAGGGCAAGAAGCGCAAACGCGAGATGGTCTTCGAGCAGATGGGAGGCCTGTTTGGGCGCAAGAGGATTCCGAAGCCGCTCAGCCAGAAAATTGCCGACGTCTGGGCCGATATGTAAGCCCGTCAATTGCTATATCGAATCCGAATTTGGAGTCAATAACTTGATACATTGAGGCGCCATTCTTCGTTATTAGCATCTCTGGACAATGCTGTAGCTTATTCTCTATATCGGCTATTGGTAGCCCTCAACGTATGACTATATGATACGCATTCCAGATGGCACGGCGGCCCTTTGGTAGTTTCGTGCTCCTGGCTCTAACGAAATTAGGGGACTGTTCTTCAATGCGAATATGCCATGATATCGATCATTCCCAATAGTAGAGGTAGGTAACATCGAGAATAGATGTATCCTTGGCTTGAGCATTCGTAGTTAGCCTATAGTAAAGTCTAAGTTGATACTAACTCTAGTTTCCTTGATCAATTCGAGCCCCTTTTCTGTTCTTCCATCTCTCATCAAATAGATTCCCCCCTTCCCCCCCTCTTGATACTTTAAACTGGTTAACCCAATTCCCCCCAGCAGCCAGTCCATCCATCCATCCACCCCCCCTCACGAATGCCCCCCCATAGCCTGCGCCACCAAATTCTGCACTATATCCTCCAGCATCGGCTTAACCAACATCTCGCCCTGCGCGCCCAGATACCCCGCCATGCTCTTCTCCGCATACTTAGCCAGCACATCCACCTCCAGATTGACCGAGTCGCCCGCGGCCTTGCGCGCCAGCACCACCTTCTCCTGCGTGTACGCGATGAGCATGACCTCGAACCACCCTTCCGCGTCGTCCACCCTCGTCACCGTCAGGCTCGTCCCGTCCAGCGCCACGTACCCCTTGTGCACCACGTACCGCAGCGCCTCCAGCGACCGCGGCGCCAGCCGCACCGTCAGCGCGTTGCCGTCCGGCGTGACCGATACCACGTCCGCCGTGGTGTCCACGTGCCCCTGCACGAAGTGCCCGCCCATGCGGGTGTCGGCGCGGACCGCGCGCTCGAGGTTGACGGGCGAGTCCCGCTTTAGGTCCCCGAGGTTCGTCAGGCGCAGGGTTTCGGGGGCGATGCCGACTTTGAAGGACGGCTGTTGTTGGCCGTTATCGGTGGTGATGGTGCTGAGATGAGTCGCGGTGAGACACACGCCGTTGACGGAGATGCTGTCGCCGAGGAGGGCGCCCTCGAGCAGCTTGGAGGACGCGGGGAGCGCGATGGTGAGGGATGTGCCGCCCGTTTCGTCGTGGGGGTTGAGCTCGGCGACGACTGCGAGGGGTGTGCGTACAATTAGCAAGCACTCTTATATCTTAATTCGAACCCCAATCTCAATTCCCTCTCTTCAACAACTAGTAAAAAAAAACCATAACACAAATAGATATATAAAAGTACTCACCGCCAATCTCCTCGACTAATCCCGTAAACATGGTTCTTAGATTACCGTCCTTGATTTAAAGGGGATCTTGTAAGGGGAGAGACTAAAGACTATAACTGTTCTGCTTGTCGCAAGGATGACGTTGTTCTTCTTAGTTTTCCACCCCGCTATCACATGTCCGATAGGTAATAAACGATAGACGGAATACGTTCCGCGCTAGAGAAGGACCCTTATTTTATATAAGAGGCAAAAATAGAAAATTTTACTACTCGGGATCTTGTACCTTACGGAGAAGTTATTAATCACCTATAAATATTAGGTCCAGCCAAATCCAGACATAGTTAGCTTTATAGTAGATATGTAATATACCCCTGTCATGCTGACTGATCCGTAGAACCGATATTGTAATAAGGCATACCTAGGCCATCAGTTACTTAAGCTGGAGACTCCACGCTCAGTAAGCAACAATACTCATTCGCATGAATGATAATCAAATTATAATCACGCATCAAAGTAATAGAATATCCATCAAGTAGGTATATTAACGACTACCTGAGCGGTGATCCTGACTGACCCATCAACCTCTCAATCGTCACCTTCTATATGGTGACATCTCGAGGGACGTGTAGGAGTTACTATCTATCGTAATCTTCATCAGTCATCAAGTATGATCCATATCATACAATTATCCCGAACATAGTTCCATTTCCTCGCAGACGGCAGTTCCTCTTCCCTCTTGACCTGAGGAGAATAAATTCTATGCCTCCCAACGCCGTACAAACCCCGGTCGCCACGCCATGATGCAAGGCTGTCGAATTGATGCTTTGCAGCTTGTTGTCCGCTTCGCAAACCACGTCTACTAGTTGGGGGACTGGCCAGCCCGAGTCCCGTTAAGCTGCAAGACATTGTAATACGAGACGCGCTCTTCGAAGATTCATCCCCTCTAGCACATCTTATATTCGCAAGTGCCCTCGGCACGCCGAGTGCTATCTTGGGTCTCTAGGAGGTAGTCAATCTTGATGTCCAGATCACGTCGGTTCTTGTCGTTAGGCCTAACGTCCAACTTGAAGCTGATCTCCTCTCCTTGCTGTACCGTCAAGACCTGGTTTAGGTAGAAGACGGTCTGCTTCCAATGGGTATACTTGGTGTGGGGGCCAGTTGAGAAGCGGACGGGCTTATGGCATGCCGTGAAGTCGATATCGAACCATGCCACAAGAGCGTGTATGAAGTCGTCACGTCGAGACGTCAACTTGAAGGGTATCGAGAAGGCAAGATCGGCCGTTGTGCAGGTGTAGAGATCAAGAGTCAAAACTGCGGCGGGGTCTGTTACAGCCGCCTTGATCTCTACCGTATCAACGAGAGGCTCGGCTAGGGCAGTCTCCTTCAGGGGGGTGTAATCGAACCCGTAGACGTTATCCCAGACTGCGACTAGTTAGCTTACTTCTAATAGGATTTTGCGGCACAGAACTTACATCCAATCTTCTCGTCCTTGTATTCGCCATCCTCGATACCGCAGGCGAAGATGGTGGCCTTGTCCGGGAAGATCAAACCATCCTTCTCGAGGAACTTGTCGCGGGCGTACAAGACAGTGTCAAGCATGCTCTCGTAGAGGAGGAAATAGCCCATCCACTCCGAGATGATAATGTCGACCTTGGGGAAGGGCAGCTCAATCTCTTCCATCTTGCCCTGAATGAGGGTGATCTTGTCTTCCATGCCATTGACCTTGACAATTTCTCTGGCCTTGAAGATGATGGTTGACATATCAACGCCGATTACGTGCTTGGCTCCAGCTCTGACAGCGAACCTAATCAGAAGGATGGCGTATTAGTTTAACTGGGTTAAAGTTGCTATATGGGCTATATGGTTATAGTAGCTCACATGGAGAGGATGGCTGTTCCGCAACCAACGTCAAGAACGACCTTATCCTTAAAGAGGTGCTTGTTCTGCACGATGGCATTCATGTAGGATCTTGTGCGGACTTCATCTTTCTGCATGAAGCAACAATGCATGGTTAGCTAACCTATATTTCTCAGGGTAGATATGCTTCTACAAATTTAGAGCACGTACCAGCATCTCCTCGTGAATTCCTGAATTGCGCAAGATTCATGTTAATAAATTATCCTTCGAAGCGTCTCAAACAGTAACGAATGCAGAATGCATACCATGGTGATTGTAGCTGTTGTGCGACAAGTGTTAGCAGGAGCCTTATCGCGCGGAGCATGTATTGTATGTATATCGCTGCCAGGATTTTAAGATTCCAGGATCCAGCAATACGCACACACAAAGAAACTAACCTGTTAAAATAATGCTGCTCAGAATGAGCCATGCTCTTGAGCTGCTGCTCGGCAGCTTCAACGTCCATCTTATCGGCAGCCATCGTTTAGAATTAAGATGTGAATGGACCGAAGTTGAGGTTGGAAGTATGAAAGAATGAAGATTGGGGCCAGACGACACCAAGTAGTAAGGAAGGTAACTATATTTTTTTTTTCTTTTTTCTTGCTTCTGGGAACGGGAACCCGCTGCAGGGTAACTAAAAAATTGTAGTACAACGGATTTAGACTCGAATAATACCCCACTTTTCGCACTTTTTCACTCTCTACGCGCCTAACGCGTCCACCATTCCTGCCGCTTGCAAAATTTACCCCACCGGAATTGGATAAACGATATGCCTATCAGATATTCGTATACGAGGTAGTAAGTACCTTCCGGGACATACCCTATGAGGAACAATCCTATTATCTAAGCCAATCAGGACTTTATAATGTAAAGGAGATTATTCTCTAACTAATTCATACCTACCTTAAGGGATAATATATTTAAACGTGATTTTCATATACTTATTAAACTAGCTATCGATGCAACTAGACATTGAACATTACCTCGATCCCAGCTACCTACTTCACGGCCTAAGTAACGATATACATTTGATTATAGCCGACGATATCCCATTTCTGGGTATCAGTATTCAGCGTGACATTCGTCGGATTAGTCTTCCCTCCCCTCACTACGATACAACTTATTAGTAGGTTACCCCTAAGAAATTTCAAGGGGAGTAAATAAGAGACGAGATAGAAGGAGGCACTTACAAAACCCAGCCTCAACACTCCCTCCACCAACCGGCCTAGCAAGCCTATTCTCACCCGCAAACACCGTGAAATTCGCTAACGGCAGATCCCACGCGTTTCGAGATGCCACGCTCGGCGACCCATAATATCGTGCGTCTAGTTTGTTTGGAGTCACCGACAGCAGGAAGTAGCCGCGGTAGTACCCGTCCTGCCACTGGAGTACCGAGTTGTTGCCCACGCGGTACTTCGCCTCGGTTCGGCCAGGCGCAATCAACCCGCTAAACCCGGTAGAGCTGACGGCTGTTCCGGCGAATTCGACGCCGACGGAGCCTTCGCCGGTGGTTGAGTCGTAGGGCTTCTCGTCTAGCCAGGCTAGGTCTGATACCCAGTTTTGATGGCTATCGCCGGCTAGGAAGATGGTGTTAGTGATATTGTTGTCGTAGAGGTGCTTTAGCGTCCGGTTCCTGTTTGCTTGGTATCCCTGAAAGCGTTATATTAGAATCAAGACCCAACAGTAACCCTCGTCGTAGGTAAGTGCCCAACTTACATTCCAGTTATCACCACCATAACCGTAAGACTCGACAATGTGCGAGAATACAATTTGGTTGCCAATTATACGCCAAGTCGCACCTCGGTCCTGGGACTTAGATAATTGGTTATAAAACCAGTTCTCCTGGTGCGAGCCCATTAGAGTTCGTGAGGCGTCGTTCCGAATGAGGTCAATATAGTTATCGTTCCAGTCTTTACTCAGTTAGCAGCGGATTCTTGAATGTTGCTTTTCTTTCGGAGAATACCGATACTTACCGAGCGAAGTAATGCTTCGATCGTAGTTCCGAGTATCGAGTACGATGAAATCCAGGACTATACCGCCAATAGTTAGCGTGATGAAAAGGGGTCAGAATTGGGGTTTGAATCTAATTCTACATACGGTTTCCCATTTGAAAGTTCCTCCATACCCTCAGGTTATCGTCGAGATCAACTTGGCTTTAGAAAATATTAGCGGAACGTCAACTCAAGCTTGGTCTTAGATTATTATATACTCACCGAATGGGCATCCACTCGAAATAGGCTCTCACAGCATTCATCTTCCGCTGGTCTACGCTGACACCACCATCCTTGCGAAAAGAATCTTCGGTGTTATTCAAAGCGCTGGACCCATCTCGGTACCCGTTATTTGAGACCTCTGTACGAACAGTCAGATAGCTCCAATCATCTACTTATTATCTCACTCATCCACCACTTACCGTGGTCGTCCCAGGTCGTTATCCAGGCAAAGTTCTGGGAGGCAAGTTGAAGATCTGGATCTGTACGATACTGTTTATTGTGTTAATATCCGAGCTCAATTCCACAACTCGAAGTAATACATACTTGCCCGTGGCGAGTCCTATAGTCATGCAAACTAAATAGGTACTTCGGCGGCGCGTGGGCTCGCTCGCCCTTTGCGTTGCCTTCGTATATGTAGTCACCTAGGTGAACCTATTCATATTAACACACGTGCGACAAATTGCCTAGATTCTACACTTACCATATAGTCCTGCTCGTCCTTCCGCGCGGCGTTTCCGTAGGCATTAAAATACCCATTCGCTTCCAATTTGTCAGCAAGACCCCTATTGAGATAAACACCAAAGTAAAATACTCACGATAATTACTACAGGAAAAGACGGCAAACCTCAACTCCGGAACATCAACATCCGCCAACGGCGCAGTCTTCGTTCGCCCGACGGGACTCGTCTTGCTAGACCCGCAGATCGTAAACTGGTAATTATACGTGGTAAACGGCTGCAGCCCCGTAGCCTCGACCTACACGCACGCCATTAGCCCTTGCATCCCCAAAACCCGACGAGAACAAGTTCCGCAATGGATGGATAGATAATAACCTTGACAGTATAATCAATATCGCTAGTCGTATACGCATCCCCCCTAGCCACAACACCCCCACCCCCATCCCCAGTCCCATTCTCCCAGACCCTCCACTCCACACAAACCGGACTAGCATCCGCATCGATATAACTCTGCGTCTCGTGACTATACAGCGGCACCGGCCCCTCGACCGTAACATTGCTCGCGTCCGACTCCCGCGACGGCGCGACCCGCGTCCACAGGACCACGCTATCGGCGTACGGGTCGCCAGACGCCACGCCGTGCGTAAACCCCAGTTCGTCCGGTGCCAACGCCACGGCGCCGCGCTTCAGGCTGCGCCGCGAGACGTGCGGGACGTCGATCCCGAGGCTGGCGTGGCGGCGCGAGGGGCTCGCGAAGTTCAGGTTGCCGTCGAAGCGCGCGGCTGCTGCTGCTGCTGCTGCTGCGAGGGGGAGCAGGAGCCCGGTCGCGAGACTCAGCGTGAGCATCTTGTTCATCGCGGTGGTGGGTGGCTTTAGGCTGAGGATAAGTTCCGAGCTTAGCACGGCGCGGGTGGGCTGAGAGCTCGATTACATACATACGTAGGTATGTATGTGTAAAAGTCAATTAAAGCTATAGGTGTAGTATATATAGGTATTTATACTTTTATACTTCCTCCTATCGATATCCCATATGCTCATACCTGCCTCTTCTCACGAGCTATAAGCCATGTGGGGTATATACATCATACATACCTACATACATATGTAGGTAGGTACACATACATACATACCTACATACAGGTAACAGCCCGAACCAAAATCAAAAATCAAAAAATTCCACCGCAGCAGCTTCCACGGTCTAACATCGAGAACGGAAGGTCAAATCGATAATCGCTGCAGACGCTCCAATAAGCAAAAAAATAAAGGTAACTACGATGGCGCAGGATAGTACTACCTCGAGCCTCCTGCGAGAACGTGTGTAATGGCGCCCTTCCTATTGGCCGGGACTTTATTGCTCTCATGCAGCTTCTCTGATCCCCGCTGAGCTTCAACTCGGCCGTGCGTAATGGGACTGACTATGTACCTAATTACAGTCCAAGCTTACTTTCCAAGGCAGAGCCGCGTATCGTGATATGTGCGAACGTATATGAGTATATGAATGGTGACTATTCACCGAGAAGTACGAGACTAGGCAGCTTAGGTACTAGAATTACCAGGCCGCGATGCAAGAAACACCTGGGTATTATAATATAGACAAAACATATTACCATTATCAGCACTTCACTCATAAAAGTGCCAGTGCAATTCATCACGAACCCAACTAACCACACCACCTCTCGTGCGGTTCTCTCCAGCGGACGCCAAGGATCTCAAAGATCCTCTTCTCGTCTCGCCCCTCAAGCAGTGTTCCTTCGTTGGTCTTAATATTCCCCTGGCCTCGTAGGACATTCCCAAACAACCCTCTCTGGTTTAGCCGCATGCCCTTCTTCTGTGCTAATAACCGTATTGACCTATTGAATATGTCGTTTCCGGTGAAGTAGATAAGCGCTGCGCCGAGCTCGGTCTGGGGCACGAGTAGAATGTCTATACGTCTCCATATAGGGCGATATTCACTTTTAGGGCCAGGAAATGCGCTCTCCGGCAGCACGCAGCAACCGTGCCATTTACTGCCACCGTTGGTATCGTCGGCGTTACCATGGTGAGCAGCAAGCGCGACAGTCAAAAAGCCTTCACGAGTCAATGTATCGACTAGCTGGTCCAGAAACGGAGCCAATTGGCTTGTAGAAGATGTCCCCTTTTTGGTCACGATCAAGTCGATATCGCCGGAACTATCAGCTCCCCGTCGATAGCTGCCTCCGATAATCAACTCTACATTGCGGTCAATAGCTGCGGCCGTATCCTTAACACAATCTGCCAAAGCCTTCACCTCCCGTCGTGGAATCCGGGTATTCAAATCGTCAAAATGTTCTAACCCGATTTTCTGGTTGGTATTCAGATCGGCTTTTCTCTTTAGGTCGTCCAGCGTCCGAAAGCCTTGGGCAACCCATTTGTGAGCCTGAATTTGGCCTACGCCATATATCTGTAGAAACAAGCCTATGATCTTCCTTTGAGGGTCATCAAGCGCATGCTCAAGCTGCCTTAGTCGGTTCGTAGTGACAATCTCCTCGATCTTGTCTGCAATCCGACCAATATTAGGCAGGGCGCGTGCTTCTTCAGCAGTACATATCTTCTTTGATTGCGTTCGTAGGGTTGTTATAGCTAATCTATAAGCTCGAATACGGAAACTGTCACCGGTAAGTGTATGCTGATCCAGCATCCCCTGAAGAACCTTGATCGTCTCCGCGTTGGGATTGTTGTCCGTATGATCCTTGGTTCCGCCCTTCATGCAGATGAACTTTTCTTGCCAGGCAGGATTTATGTCCTTAGAATGGCTAGTACTGCTCCTAGTTCTCCTTTTCCACGGTCTCCTATCATCCGAGCTGCTAGAGTCTGAGGGAACCTCGGCTTCATCTGTTAATGACGGCCCAGTAGGGTCATCGTCGTACATTAATGAACTACTAAATAGGTCACTATTATCCGTAGCTTTCATCTCAGATATACACTGTGTAAGTTCATCATCCACACTAGTCTCAATTGCTTGCTTTGAAGATGACACCCCATTTTGTGCTTGAGACGATTGGGCATTATCCGTGACGCTTTTATTTTGTTGCCTCTGGGAAGATGAGACCAGGGCGGTACTTCTCTGCGAAGAGCTCTGACTACGCGACTGGGTGCTTAATATAGGCGAACGGGTTCGCCTCGCCGACTTCCTGCGGCTTGGTTTTAACTCGAGCGAGGCATCATCATTGCCCAAATACGATAGTTCTATTTCGTCTACTGGTTTCTCAGCAGGCGTTGGGGTCCCGGAAATCTTATATTGACTCTGGTTAGGATTTGCGATTATGCGGTGCTTAAGGCAGTCAATGGGGTAATTTTCATTGACAAGCACCTTCTCTGGCCACCTAGGGTCATCTTGTAGCTGGCGCTCTATATCCGTATAGGTAAGCTTTTTATCGACGATTATATGCGTCGCCTCGTCCAGCTTCCTGCACCACCTATGTGATATTCAGTTAGCCGACCGGTGTGTGACTATTGTCGGATACCTGCTTCTAACCGCCGGGATAGGTTTGTTAGGACGGATACTTACGTGGCACCGTGTTCCCGGGCTTTCCTGATCTGTAATCTGCGCGCCGGGTTGATATCGTCATTGGGGATGTAAAAAAATGAGAGCTCTTTGAAAATCCGGCGTGCCTCAGGGGCTAGTTTCAGGGGTGCTTCCTTCTTACGTTTTCCCATCCTAACAGAGGGTGAAGGATCACTTTTAGGACTAGAATGTATAGTGGGTAGACTTGAGCGCGTAGAACGTGTTGTACGACGTAGTGGCTGTCTGGTAGCTGCAGCTGCAGTCTCAGGCACTGTCTTGTCACTGACGGAAGTGCTCGCCTGTAAGCTTGGGCCGCCGGTTCTTGGCTTATTGCGCCGGGGAGTCACAGCAATGATTTCCACCTCGGGGTCGCTATTACTATGAATAGGGTCTGACGCCAATTCCATAGGAGCATCGACTCCCCTTGGTGCAGTTGGAGAAACATTCTTGGAAGTGGCTGGCGCAACAGAATAGAAAAAGGCATTGGTCTTCTGCCTGTATGCCTCCTCGTCTGCGCCCAAAATATCATCCTCCCCGTCGTCATCATTCGTATATGCTTCAAGGCGTTCAAAGAATGCGACCTTTTCTTCTAGCTGGCGCTCCATTGAGTAAACATAAAGAAAAACGGAGTATTGTTGAGGTCCGTTTCGGTGTTCCACGTAAGACGACGCATTTTATTTTATGAATGTTGAGTGCTTCACTGAAATTGTACTTGTTGCAACTCGACAAATTCATCCGTAGGCACCAGTTGCTAGGTGCATGATCACTGACTGATTGACTGTCTTAAGTTTGTTGATTGGTAAATTGATTCAATTGAGAGGCAAAGCTAAAATCCCCTGATTTGCTTAATTAAGCCTTAGTACGCCCCTCAGTTACACCGGACATGAACTGGATACATAGCATGTACTTATTTTACTGGGCTACTTATTCGCAAAACCAAGTACCCCACGCGTATCATTAATTCACGTAAGTGCATCATCCAGGAGGTATTCGCAGGCAGATATAAATAAGACTTAGGCTTCCTAAAAAGGGGTTTACAACAAGAATCTTGCGTCAAGTTTTATTCTTATTATTTTCTACATTTCAACCGCATGAGAAACCTGTGTATGTCTTAGACTTAGGTATTAAGTATTTCCATACTCACAGTCGGCATGGAGCAAGCGAATGTAAGCTAAATACTAATAGCAGGGGTATATATGTAATCAACCTTTATGCGCACACTTTGCATTGAATTCCATTCCATGACGCCTCCCTAGATACTACATGAGCGAGCGAGATATTAGTCGCCAATCAATACCCTAGTTTTTCCATACACGTAGTGAGTCCCCCCAATACATAGTAAACCAGTACCATATCGTACACAACCAGCCCCTTACGATGGTATGGGTGACTGCGACTGCTGTCCAGCGTACATACGCGAATCCATCAGGGGAATGCTGTTCTTCTCTCGGGGGTCGAAGGAAGCCCCGGCATCTGCAGAGTACCGGCTATTTGCTTCGCCATCGATGTCGTTTAGCAGCTCCCTAGTAATCTCCACGTAGTCGTATGCGAATTCACCAATCTCCGCGTCGTCGATACCTAAGATTTCGTCGTTCTCGGTTGTTCGTAGTTGGAGACCCGGGATCAAGTTTAGGACGAAGCATATTATACATGTGCCGACGAACGAGTAACATCCTCCGCATATAGAATCAGCTAGTTGGTATGCCAGCTGGACCCAGTGGTGATTCACCCAGCCGCCCGGGATTTGCGTGTAGCCATCGAGATGAGCAATGTAGTCGGCGGCGAAGAAACCCGTGCAGATATTTCCTACAAAGCCGCCAACGGCATGCACGGCAAAAATATCCAAGGCGTCGTCGATCCGCAGGAAAAATTTGAGCTTGGTAGCGTAGTTGGCAAAGCCGGCCCCGAGGATTCCGTAAATGATTGCGGCCCAGGCGGGAACATAGCCTTGGAAAGGTTAGAGGTATACTGGTAAGATGCAAATTAACAACTGACCTGAACCCGGTGTGATCGCCACGAGACCTGCAACAACCCCGGAGCAGAAGCCCACCGTCGACCACTTGCCCTCCAACCTATAATCAAGCACACACCATGTAATGCCGCCGACGCAAGCCGCCAGATTTGTTACCACTGCGGCCATGACGGCGCGCAAGTTGGCCGAGAGCGCGCTGCCGGCGTTGAAACCAAACCAACCCACCCATAGAAAGACCGTCCCGATGACTATGTGAGTAACGTTGTGTGGTCGGTAATTCAATTCGTGCGTTCCGTGACCTCGCCGCTTTCCCAGCATCATCGAATCTATAAACTGAAGTGTCAGCAATAAGAACGTAGCAACTCTTGAATGGAGTATAACCGCGGGTGTGGACTAACATGCAAGCGCAGCTGTCCCGGAAGCAATATGGACCGGTGTACCACCAGCAAAATCGAGGCCTCCCATCTTGTTCGACCATCCAGCCGGGTTCCAAGTCCAGCAAGCGATAGGGTCGTATATGATTGTAGACCAGATAAACATGAAGATGACGCACGGCAGCATCCGCCCCCTTTCGGCAACAGCGCCAGTCGCGAGCGCCACGGTGATGGCCGCGAACATGCCCTGGTAGACGGCGAAGAGCAAGTCCGGCACCCTCGTAGAGCCGACGGACGGCTGGGCCAACACATTCTTAAACCCGAAGTTGGATAAATCTCCGATGTAGGCGGATGCCGTGTGCGAGAATGTCAACGAGTAGCCCCAGAAGAACCACTGAAACGTAGTGACGGCCGTGGCCATGACGGAGAGCCATATTAGTGATAAGGCCGATTTACGTCGGGCAAGACCAGAATAGAAGAAGCTTTAGGATGGTAAGCTAACGAACGCCCGTGGCGGATATAGGTTGGTTGTAGCGCGGTTTTACTTACCCAACTCCCGGAATCATGAGCAACACGAGAGCTGTGGACGTTATCATCCACGCGATATCGCCGCTCTATGCTCGCGTATTAGAGGTTAAATCCCTGAAAAAAATGAGACGCGGCGAGTTCAATCTACTAACCTCGTACCATATATTCAAGTCTTCCGTTAGAGAATCCCCGCCAGTAGGACCAGTACCATTATAGGGTAATTTGACGATATAGCCCAATGCGTCAAGATCGATGCCATTAAGTACGACCATTTTGTTACGTAGCCCAACGAGGGTCTCGGGAGTTGACTAAAACGAGATGATGGGAAAGATTATCAGTATTACACATAAGGAGTGAAAGTGAACGGGTTCAAAAGAGTGTGAACAAGTTGGATGGATGCCGTCGGGAACTTGCAGTCGAGGAAATGTCGAGGCGAGGGCTAGATCAAGTACGTCAAGTTCCAAGCCGTGATTAACGGGGCCAAGGCGAGGTTAATGCAAAATAGGCGGTATTCAAACCCCTAATCCTTCGTAGTCGGAAGAAGAAGCAATTCAAAGACAAAACGTTCAAAGACAAACATTCACTCTCGTTCGGGTCAATCGATACGCCTATCAAACATGTCAATGTCAAATTGAAGCAGAGACGCCTACGGATAACTCAAAAGAGAACAAGACTTTGAGGCTTGTGGGCCGGCGGTCGAGACCGGTGGGAAATCTTTTTTTTTATTTACCTACCTAGGTATTGATAGCAGTCCCTCTTACGGATCGGCCTTTTGTACCTTGTCGTACGTATGTACAGCATAGCATGTACATACCTACACGGGCGTCTGATGATATCCCATACCAGATGGGAGATTAGGAACAGCCACTCAGACCAGGGCATGACCTGCAGGTTGCAGGATCTGTGCCCGCCTCAGATCGGTGACATACATAACAGTGGCAGTAACTAGTCTGACTGGGTAGTAGGTATGTATAAGCTAAGCAATACATGTAGCCGGCGATTTCGATATAAGCAGGGATATACTCCGACATGACCGGCAGAGATTATCTAGGCTGTTCTTGTTCTAATCGAATGTTGGGCGTAAGAGATAGGCTAACCGGCCGTGACACTACATATATAATATTAATATGAACGGCATACAGCAGCAGCAGCAGCAGCAGCAGCAAGCTGAACTCAGCGGTGGCAACGCCCTCGAACCCATTCTCTGGTGTGAGATTCGTCACCTAGGTGTCCTATCAGAGAGAACCGTTCGAGTTGAGCCAGCCCTCTGTACCGGAGCCATCCGAAGAATCGAACGAGAAAGGGATGCGAGACTTGGCTTTGGGAATTTTCTGATATTCTGATATACGATGAAATAGTTGGACGCCCAGAAAGATGATCGATATTACACAGCAAAACAAGTAAGAAAACAGAGATAAGCAAAGAGCAGGGTCCACTCCAATCGGTCTACTATTGGGTAAGACTCACTGGTGGGGTGTAAGTGGGGAGATAGAGTTTCCAGGGGATTGGGGAAGTTAGTGTAGGTGAGCAGGGGGTTTTGGACTGGCACATTCCGTCTCGAGTATCTCGAGTCTGGTACATACGATAAGGTTTACACTATGATAAAGTGGACTGCTCCCTAGGTCCCTAAGGCCAGTTTTTTGGATTCCGGGTCCTTTTGTTACCAGCATTTTCTCAGTTCTGCATCAGGTGATTTACATCAATGTATTGAAGTAAGTCATCATTCTCAAAAAACTACATAGCTTACCTACCTCCTTTATACCTACCTATGTATAAAGCCCGCCTTATCTCGCATCGCAAGGCGAAACGTAGCATTCCTACATAACTGTATGTAACTACGTAAAGTAGCAGGAGGCCTGACGTGAAGAACGAGCCGTGTCAGCTGCCACGGCCCAACGGTCAGCCATTGTGTTTCCAGTCCCCTGGTACATTCTATTCCGAATCTCCCCACCCCCGTATCGGGAAGGTCAGATACCGATGGTCTATGCAGTAGGTATATAGGTACCGATAGAAGTGCTCGAATCTACTACATAGATACACTAACTAACTAACCTAATAACTAACCTAATAGTATCAAAAAATCAAAAAGATGCAGTCTAACAAAGGCCTCGCAGATCTTGGTACTGATAAGGCTAATGCTTCATGAACCATCTAGCTTATATTAGTTCGACTGTCTTAACATCATTCAACCTCCTGCGTAATGTTATTATCCGATGCAGCTCCTCTTCAGACGCTTCATGCCGCTGTTTAATTACCTAAACCTAGCTATCTATCCAGCTATCAAGTAGCTAAGCAGAAGATCATCTGCACAGTTGAGACTCTGGCTGCTCGATCCGACACAAGCTATTCACTCTATCGAGCGCGAAGTCTCAGTATCCCTTTGACAATAAACGCTATGAATACCGCATGTATTCCCCCCATGGTATTTCGCCAGTGTGAAACAACGCCTCACGCACACCTCGAGCACTGAACTACCTAACCTAGGTCCATATGTATTCTCAGTCTCAGTAAACCCCCCGTTACTTAGGTACCTATGTAAGTATTCATAAACGACACGGAACGAAATGAATCACATTACTTTTGATTTCATAATAGCGGTGCCTATAAAGACTAATACCATTCCTCCACAATAAACCGGCCTCGTTTTCTATAAGGGCCATCCTACCTATTCCAATTAACCATCTTATCTATCAGTGGCGAAGCATCGTACAACATAGACATACCTACGTACGCGCACCCCTTACTAAACACTCAAGCCAACTACGTATGTGCGTGTCATTTACACTAAGCACCACGGCTTCCCTACATAGATGAGCCCGCAACCATCTCGATTGTCGGGCCCGATAAAATGCTTCGCGCGACACGGCATTCGTAAATCGATGTATATCTATTATATCGACTACAGCAAATTTATCGTATCGC